ATTATAATAAATATGTACTCGTACATAAGATGAAGAATGATGAACAAATTATTAAATTGTTAAGGCATGAAAAGAATTTTCAAAAATGATATTCCTAACAATCCTTGTCTTCAAAATTTTTAGAGAAAAAAAGTACGCCCATGTATTTTTTTATCTTAACCAAGTGGGCGCACTCCAAGTGTCTTTTCTGTCACTGACAATTTGCCACCAGATATGGAATAAGCTCTACCCATGAATAGAAGTGTCACTTTTTGACGTTTATGGGTAAAATAGTACGACTATACCGATTAAAAAACAAGTGTTACAAACACTTTCAACACGAACCATGTAGTAGCGAGTATTGTAAATGCATAGTTTTGCTGAAATATATTGATTCACAACAGTTTCTTACCAAAAACAACAGTAGGCAGTCTGTGCTCGTAAAAGTATGGCACAAAAAGCTGCCAAAAACAGAGTTACAAAGCTTAATTTTGTAGTACTGTTTTTGATAAAATAGAGTCACAAAATCATCATAGCAAACGTGAAATACATATGAAACAGAGAATTGTATTAGTATTACACGGGAGGAGAGTGTATATTTTCCTCTTACAGGTGGAAGTTACTGCTAAAGACTTGTCGAGAGTAAAGAGAGGTAAAATTTTTAGTTCCCTGTGTTGTAATTGGCCATATTCCTTTTTAAAATTAAGATGGAAAAACTTGCTTTCTGTTAGGGTCATAGGAAAAGCTATTTTTCCATTATCATTTCATAAAGAAAAGTGATCAATTACCTCCCTAGAAGGTAAACATTTTTCTCTCCCATCTGTCGAAATTCACAATTACAATAAAAATATATCTAACCTACCAGGGAAGTAAACATTTTACCTCTCCCATAGAAACGGAAAAACATATGAAAATTATATCGAGCGATCAAGATAATTTGTAATCGAGTCACCTTTGCATCCGAGAACGTATGTCTAACTGCACGTGAAACGTCAAATAAAATGACAAGTCAAAAGGTAAAACGGCAAAATGAGCTGGAATTAGTCGCCGTCGTATAATAATACGAGTTTCTTTTTGAAGATAAATTATAAATTTAGTGATTATAATCATCACCTTTTTGATCATGCTATTTTAACTTTCGACTTGTCATTTTACAGACATACGTTTTCGGATCCAAAGATAACTCGATTACAAATTATCTTGATCGCTCGATATAATAAAATAACATTTTTTTATTTTTGCCTATAATTTTTAATTTATCTGAAGACGTTTGCGGGTAAAGTAATATATGTTATTCGGGGTAAAAGTAAGTTTGTGTGTCTGAGCTGAATTATCTGTAAATAAACATTCAACTTCGCCACATAAAGTGTCACATTTACACCTAATAACATAATCCACTATTAACAAGTTAATAAGCTGTAAAACGTGACTACTTCCCATGGAACTTGTATTGATAATAGGTAATCACTCGGCTTATTCATATGTCAAAAATAATAATGTTATAATTTATCATAGTATAGTTCGTTAAGCATTAAACACGTTTATTTGTTAGTTAGTATTAGGGTCATTTAAATGTAAGATTTAAGTTTTCTAATTTTGTACATAGATATACAGAGTGTTTCAGAACTCGCGCCCCAGACAAAAATTCCAAATAAGATAAGATACCAGGGCCCTGTTCCACCAAAGTTTTTTCCAACTTTGCATTTTTCACTTGCAAAGTGCAAAGCGCAAAATGTAAAGTTTCAAAGACGTTGGTGGACTAGGGCCCAGGAACATGGAAAAAATATTTGAAAAATTCGATATGTAAAAAAATTTTGACATTTAAAATTTTTATGTTTATTTGGTGGTATGTTACTGATGATCTTGTATACCTATGTATGTTTTTTCATAATTATTTAGTAAAGGTACAAAAATTTGGCCAATAAAAGCCACAAAATAACGTAAATTGGAGTTACAACTTAGGATACAGCTTCCTTGTTTCCAATTCTAATAGTCTGCAGCAAAAAAAAACATGGAAAATTATTATTGCAACAAAAATAAATAAATTCAAAATGAAAAATTTAAACTTTCATGATTTAAAAATTTTTATTCTTCGACACTGTCAAAATTTAAGGTTTTTCTCACGTTTTGACAACTGTTTAGCATTTCTCAATACGAAACGTCAGATTATTTTTAACTCTTTTAAAGCAAGTTTAAGCCTTGTTGCCTTTAATTCGAAGAATACAATGTTGTATTCAACTCGTAGATGATAAACCACTCGTTACACTTGTGGTTTAAAAATCCACTCGTTACACTCGTGGTTTAAAAATCCACTCGGTGAAATAATGCGTCCGATTTACACTCAAACTCGTAGAATAAATAACTACTATAGATAGATTTAAAAAAAAAATTATGTTCCTGGTATCTTACCTTATACATGGCATTTTTCTCTGGGGCGTGAGTTTTACAACACCCTGTATGTGTTACATCAATATAGCTTTCGTCTGTAATAGTAGAGAAAGCAGCGAAAATTTAATTTTTGAATTAAAAAATTCATCTTGATGTTTAGTTAGAAAATTATAAATTTCTTTTTTGCATACCGACATTGCTAATCAAAAAATTAAATTTTTAGATTGAAATATTTACATAATCAATTATTGATAGCTGCATAATTAGAACGTTTTTTCTTATGTGTACACAATCAATTATCAACAAGTCTGTAAATACTTACAAAGGAACGTCATTCTGGATAGTATTTCCCGTCTTTTTTTGTTGACCTTTGTTAAATTAAGTATATTTCTCTTAGTTAAGATATCAGAACCCACTACAACAAACTTTTAATGAAACATTTACTTCAAAAAAAAAAGAGAGAAACTTATTTTCAACACCTACAACAATGACTATTGAAATATTGTACAAAAAGCACAATTAGAAAACTTGTAGTTGAAATGCTTATAAAATGTGTTACCTTTTACAGAAATGTGACGTCATAATTCATTAGTAGGTACGCATATATTTTTGCTTTTCTTAGAAACACAATTACAATTACACTGTTGGATCATTAGATTCCTTTTAGCTCTTCCGCTGAATAATATTTGTAAAAAAAAAACATTTCTTTGACTAATACAGCCAACGTATGGAAGCTGCAAAAGAATGTAGTTTTTTCCATTTCATTGTTAAACAGTCAAACAGTTTTTTTAACGTTGGCACCACTAACAAATTTATTCATAGTAATTTTAATAAAAGAAGTTGTCAGTTCCGGTCAGTGGTTCGGGTTTTTGATTTAATTTGAAAACAATCTCATGAAACCTTAGCAAAAAATCGTCTAAGACAAAAAACACATAAAAAGGATGACAAACCCGGTACGGCTAACAGTTCCTGGAAATGTGAACACGAAAAGTATGCAAGTTTACATCAGAAAAAAAATCACCGTTAAAATTTAGACGCAATTTGTTATACTGGTTTGCTAGACATTATCTATTTTTACAAAGAAATTGACGATAATACAAAATAAACATGAATGAGAAAAAACACAACTAAATTATTGCGTCCAGTTGCAAGGAGTAACAATTTTAAAACTAAACGTGAATAAGAATTTAGAATATTAATTAATTTCGAGCTTGTTTAAAAAAATATTGCTAATCTTCATAACACCTAAATCTGCTTGTATCTTTTACAAAATAACTTTTTTCTTTATGCTCAGCCTTTTTTCTTAGCAAGAAGTTCATTTTTGCGCACAACATTGTACTTTCTTGCAGTGTGTTTCTAATTTTCTTCTAACAATATTATTAGCACTGAATTCTGTCTTTAGACATAAGGTAGTGATGTCCTGAAGTCTGTTCTCAGGGATACGATTAAAATGCTTTTAAAGAGCAAACAAGCACACAAAATTCATAAAAGTCAAAATTTTGACAACATTTCAACATGAAAACATAACCAAATTATTTTAACAAAATTTCTAGGGACAATAACAAACACAATTTGTGGCTATAAATATGAAAGATACACTAAAATATGAAAAAATGAAATATAGGCATTATTATACAGGGTGCCCCCGAACTCGCGCCCCAGAGAAAAATGCCATGTAAGGTAAGATACCAGGAACATGTAAAAAATGTTAAAAAGTCTATCTATAACAATTTCGAAGTTATGAGAGTTAAAATTTTGCACTTTGACTCCATTTATTTCTGATGGAAAAATAATTTTCCAAGTCTTTTTTGCTAGAGGCTATTAGTAGAAGAAACAAGGAAGTTGTATCCTAAATTGTAACTCTGTTTAATGTTATAGGTGGCTTTTATTGTCAAAATTCTTGTACCTTTACTAAATAATTGTAAAAAAACATATTCAAGATCATCAGTATCATGAAATAGACATAAAAAGTGTCAAATGTCAAAAAATAAATATCAAAATTTTTTGACAGAATTTTTAAACATTTTTTTCATGTTCCTGGTATCTTGCCTTACTTGAAAATTTTCTCTGGGGCGCGAGTTTTGGCGTTCCCTGTATAGGTACAAGATCTTCAGTATCAATAAAATAACTATAAAATATGTCAAATGTGAAAAAATAAATGTCTAAATTTTTTGACAGATTAAAAAAAAAAATTCCATATTCCTGGTATCTTATCTTACTTCAAATTGTTCTCTGGGGCGCGAGTTCTGACATCCTGTATGTACAGGATGTCCCACGAATAATAATGAACCTGAAAATTTTTTTGAAACAACCAACATTACATTTCATAGATAACGTCGTCAGGCTCATTATTACTCGTGGGACAGCCTGTATAAACGCCCAAAGAAATTACACTTCAGAATTTGGTGAATTTATTCCAAAAGGCAGCAAAACTCACCCCTTGGGGGTGAAATTTGTACTTTTATTATCTGACAATTGATAGTTAATAACTGACAATTGACACTTATTAACTGACAGTTTCCAATTTAATATCTGGCAACAGACTAACTGGCAATTGCCACTTACTAACTAGCAATTTTGTTGAATTTTTTTTGTGTATCACCCTTCAGCGCCGCTTTTGTAACAACATATTCTCTTAACCACACTTGATGAAAATTTCGAAAATTCAAACTTTTAAACTCTGCTCATACTGCGCAAGATCAAAATTTTACATCGATTTCTCGACCACCCTCGCCATCAGTCAGCATGTAGCACGAAAACTCGTCCTTTCGACATTTCGCGATGTTAAAAAATGGTTGATTTCAAACATCTCCTAAACGCACCGATCATCGCCAAAAAGTCCGTTCTAGTCCAACGCAAATGGCGTAAAAGAAAAAATAAAGTGTGCAAGACCGAACTGTCAAATGACATCACACACGTTTGCGGCAATGAAACGTAGGTCTTGTTTCCCATTTCCGGGAAGATTTATTTTATTATTTTTTTTGTTCCAGCCCAAGAGCAAGAAAACGCTGTATCATCTTTATTGTTATCATAATTATTATCATCGCTTGTATCGCTTTCGCCTATCATTATGGGTTCCTTAGTACAAATAAGGAGGAGGAGGAGCTGAAACCCCCGAATCCTGAGAAAGCCCTACCGGCATCAGCATCGATCTTGAGGAGGTTTAAGAGGGCTGCGGTATGTGCTGATGGGGCAGCATGTGCACAAATTGGAAGGTACATTTTTTATTTTTATATAAAGCTTAATGAAATGAATAAAATTGTTGAAATTGCAATACAACTAGTAATACGAACACTATTACTGAGTGCACCAAAAGAAAAATATATTTTTTCTCCATATACAGGATGAGTCATATATAATAAAGACCCTAACCGATTTTCAGACACAACCCAAAATACATTCTCAGCGATACCATTAACAGCTTTTTTTTTGTCCGAGTTTGAGTATTTTGAAATCAAGAAAAAAAGTTGAATTGATGACACTGTTAAATTTTATGAATAACATGTTAACAACTACGTTGATCTAAATTTAATAATATAAATTTTTCAAACAACAAAAGCCAAATTGTCTGTGAGAATGTATTTTGGGTTGCATCTGAAAATCGGTCAGGGTTTTTATTATCAATGACTTAGCCTGTACATAGATTATTTATTGTACGACTTGAGTTCAAAAACCCAAGAAATTGGCTGTAATTCTTTACTGCTAACAGTTTTTGAAAATTTTGGGACGAAAAGTTTGCAACCAGAAATCAGTAAGTAAAACACCAACGTTAAAATTCAGACGCAATTTGTAATACAGGTTTGCTAAACATTGAAGTAATGTTGGTTGCCTAACTCACTTCATAAAATAAAACAAGATTTTATATAAGTTACTAAAATATTAGTTTAAGTTACTAAAAATATCACTAAAAATTGGTGAACTGACACCACCTGACCTTTTTAGCAAGCTTCTATTGCCTATTGTTGGGATAATTTGTTTTTTTTAATGTTGCAACAGGCAAATTACTGTTATTCAATTATTCAATGTGATTGAATAGGTAAGTAATCCAGACAATAGTAGTCTCAAACTTGAAACTATGGACCAAAAAGTGCATTTTTTGGATTAACTCAGGCTTATTTGATTGTGTAAAATTTTTGAGAAAAATCATACTGTTTGTTCAAATAAATTCCCACCGTGTGATTTTTCATAGACAAAATTTTTTTCATAAGGATGAGTGCGATTAAAGATATTTTTTTAATATGATGAGCAACTCGTAGGTAATACTATTTAATTAGTATTTTTTTAGTAAGTAATGGAAATTCACAAAAATTAGGCTCACTTGTCTTGACGTCATGCGATATTTGCACCACCTTGCTACTCTGACTTCATCTTTCCATTTAGCACAACTAATGAACTTGGTTTTTATTATTTACAAATATCTCGTGACTTTGCTTTGGCCAATCATAAACAAATAATGACTCATAACAAGTCATGAAACATGATTTGATACACGACACGGAATCTGGATCTTGTCATAAATCAGGTTTTAGCAAATGTTGGGAAACCTGACAACCTTGTAAATGCACTCTGGATGCTAATCTCTTTATTATTGGCAAATATTTGCGGACATCAACCTCAACATGCTTGAAAAATCCTCCCGTTGATAACAAAACCGAACTGTTATGGTAGTTTTTTATTGTTTATCAATTTCTTATCAACATTTACGTAATAGTGTTTTGTTCCAACAAAGTAATATGCTATGGTTATTTTCACGGTTAATAAATAATGTAACAATTAAAAAAAAAAACAATCAGGGTTTGAATTATTTACTGCGCAATAATTTGAGATTTGCGCCAGTTTATTAAATATTTGGATTTTCATCAATATACATCAAACAACAAATGATTAAGGGCGGACCTTGGATTTTCTTTGTGTTTTTAGATCAAGTGATTAATTTATTTTATCATAAATATACACTGATACTTTAACGACAATAATGATATGTCTACCATAGGAAAAATTAATTAAATTCTGATAAATAAGTGAAAGAATTGCTTGAAAAAATGATAATAGATAGGACGAGGAAGAAGTTCTAGTTTGTGTGAAGTCATACTCATAAGAAGTTTTTGTCCATTTCTGTTAAGCTTCCTAAACGTATCAATGTTTTTTATAATAAAAATTGATTGTGCTCTACTTTCTTTTAGACGACTTTCCAAAATTGTTATAAAAATTTGGCCATATGTCAGAAACAGAATAATACCGAACAGGTTTTATTCGACCTAAATGAAACTCCCTAATAATTTATTCGAAACAATGCAATAACAAAACCATTAACCCACTATTGTGTCGGAGAAATTGATTCAAAGAAAATTAAAAGATGGGAATTTTTTTTCAGTAAAATCTATTCTAGTTTCTTTTTATTTCGAAGTGTTTGTCTTAACAGTAAGGATTCGTTATGAGTTATGACATATGTCAGTTTTTATAAAATTAAATTTTTCTACACATTTTCGTTTTTTTGTTGATCCAGTGTATAAGGTGGAAATACAAATATCTACGATCAAGTATTACAATGTAAACATTTTAAGAGTTTCATTTGACTATAATTAAGAATACTGTAGATTGACTTTGACTAAAATATATTCCAATATCAAGAATGACAGAATTCTCAACAGAATTATAAACTTTTTCACATTCGTATGTTGGCATCACTGCAACAGGATATTTATCTGATGATATAACGAATTTACAGGTTGTGCCGTTATGAGAAAAAAAATCAACAGAAATTCATTATAAATAATAATTATTATTAATTTTTGCAATGTCATGTTTATTGTAAAATACAGAGTAAACGGTTAATGTTACAGAAAAGTGTATAGTAAGGGATTATAGAGAATTAAATTTGCTCCAAAAAAAAAACTAAATTAAATTAAAATGCTTGAATTTTGCAACGCAAACGCTTCTTTTTATTATAACATTTTTGAGTTGTAAAATGGCAATAAAAAACACCCTCGAACTATAGAAAAAATAATATATTGTTCTATTGTGTAAAATACAAGTATATTAAATATACATTGATTATTCAAAAAAACAGCGAAATGTTTTTATTTTTGAGACATATTATCAAAGTTTTTACATGAGTTTTACAAGTACTCAAAAAGTGTAATCTAAGACAATATTTATTAATTTAGGTGACTCGCTAAAATTTACTAATAAGTACTCTAAAATTATAATAATACGAGGGCCAATCAGACAAAAACAAACTTCTAATTCTATAGTATCTAACAAAAACTACTCTTTCTGTTAATTTTTTTACATTAAAACCGAGAAAACCAGACAACCCGTTATACTTTTGATCTTGAAAAAGTCATCTACTTTTACTATTCCGCATCGTTTCATTTAATTTGTCTGCTTTTATCCTTATATCTACGTCACTTTTGAATTTGATATAGATAAATACTCAATGTTAAGTGAGTTACAAAACAATAAGTTTCTAGAAATTTAAACCGCTATACCAGTTCTAGAACGACACCACCTCTCACATGATAATCTCGAAGCTAATTGCTATTCACTGATTTCCAGAACAATTCGAAACAGTTCCGCATTTTTTTTAGTCGTCAAAAATTTATTTTTGCTTCGTGCTTATAATTAAGGACGTGTCTGCTAGACGTGAAATAAAAATTAGCATTCAACATACAAAAATAGGTTCTTGTCGAGAGATAAAAAATTTCAAGTATTAAATGGTCCAAGCAGATTGTAAAAAACAAGTCATGTGATGAGTATTTCTTTCAAAATTAATTTAAAAATAAAACAGTGCTTTTTTTCTTATTTTATTAACACTAAAATATTTGTTTATTCTACTTCTCATTTCATTCTTATTAATCATAAGGATTTTCTTCGTGACCTTATTTTTCTCTAGGTAATTAAAAGACCTCAATGATAACATTGATAACAAAAAACAACAACAATATTGCACATAATTACGAAAATGGTTATTTTTATATTAAATGTGCGGAACGACTGGTTTTTAAATACAAGAATATGTATGCAATATTTATTTTAATTATTTGAAATACCTCAAAATTTAGTTGTTTCATGATTCTGTCAGTGTGTGTCATGCACTGTTGCTAATTTCGTGCCCTAATAAAAATGACTAACTTCGTGTATTAATTTCAATATGTGAAGTTCAACTTCACTCATGATTGTTGAAAAAAATAATTTAGACGCAATAAAAACAAGATTAATCAGTTAAAAATTTATAGAACCGAGTCAGCAAAAATATCATGGTCACAATCAAGTTCACGTGGCTTAGCGATAAAATGACAGTTGGCAATACAAAACATTTTCAGAAAGACCCAAAAAGCGCCCACTTTAATTTAGAAAGTAAATAAACAAACAATGGAAATAAATATGAAATCAAGGCCACGTGTCGGGTACATTATTTCAGAATAAAAAACTTTGTTCTCCCTTTGGATGCGTGTATTACTGTATTATTAATTAAAAATTACTAATTTATGGGCAAGTCAGCGGAAATTGCGACTTTGTGCACCTCGAGTTGGCAGCACTGCGCATGCGTGTCAATGCTTATAAATACCGGCGGCTGTGGTGCGCTTCAGTTGTTTGAATTGACAGTTGAGAGTGAAAATATTTCGTGCAGTAAACAAAATGTCCGAAGCTCATTTCGACGAATATGAACACTACAATTTCTTGTACGACAAGCACATCTACAGCGGCCATAGCGGCAAACAAAGATCCAAGAAGGAGGTCAGTGAACACACGAACCACTTCGACCCCAATGGACATTCCAGAAAGATCGTCACGAAGATGATGAACACGGAACAGAATAGACGGGCGAAGCATTGATCTCGAGTTCCTATCTGTGATTTCCCTCGATATCCAAAGACGTTCAGTGGCGAGTTTTGAGGATTTTGTGATTTCGTTTAACACCTCTAGAGACAGCGATTGTTTTCATGATATTGTGTTGGTAGAAATGGTGTTGAAGTCGATGATGTATTAAATTATTGTTAATTTTTGTAGTATTGTATTTTTTCAATAAATACTGTACACCTGATTTGGTGTTTTATTTTTAGTTGCTTTGCTATAGAAACATTGGAAAGTTTCCAGAAGGTTGGTACGGTGGAGTGGGTAGAGGTGCGCGCAGGGTCAACGATTGCGCTTTGTTTGGTTTCTAATTATAGCAGGCCATGGACGTATTTCCATTTTTTTTTTCTTTTAATTAAATCTGAAATCTTTTTTGGAGTATTCCAGAAGTAACAAGTAGAGAAGATAATGTTGAACCTCAAAACATGCCATAATACTTCTGAATTTTAAAAAACGCCCCAAGGCATAGCTCCTTTATTTTTAAAGATATGATAGACACCTTGGAATAAAATTTCACAGTTTGTTATATTGATGAACGTCTATCCCAAAAAAATTGTTTACAAGAAACTGTTCAACACTGATCAAAGAATATGTATTGTCATATCTTTTTAAAAATTAATGAAGTTATGGCTTGGGACGTTTTTTATAATAGAGTTTGCGTAATTTGTGTGGGGAGCCAATGGAAGTTCTCGGTAATTCTATGTAGATACCTTGTTGGGTCGTTGAGTGTTTACACGTTATATAATGTTTATGAGTAAAATTATTTCAGCTGCTCTGTTTTATGATTAATAACTGATACCTACAGCACCTTTCCTAGTTATTAAATAAGACTTCAAGCCTATAAATGTATACTTAATAAATTAAAAAAGAAAACTACCTATTTAAAATCGCGGTCAATTCATAGTGGCCCTGTGTAAATTTGTAAAAATTGAGTTGTGTAAATCCAACTTTAAACAACCAATTGTTTATTTAGGGACATACTTATCTATCAAAAATGACAATTCCGAAAAAGTCGGGTTAGAATACTTCACATATAACATCTACTGCACTACTGCGCCTGTCACAATTGTTGACAGTTAGTTAGTTCTGCTGCCAACATAGACACAACCCTCACACTAGAGGTGGTGGACTAGGGGCTGCCAACTTTACAATATATTAAATGGCCACTATGAATTAATTGACCGCAACTTTAGGTATATTTTTTCATAATTATTTAGTAAAGATACAAAAACTTTGTCAATAAAAGCTACAAATAACGTTAAACATAGTTACAATTCAGCTGGATACAGTTTCTTTGTTTCCTCTTTCAACAATCTGTAGCAAAAGATCATGTAAAATTATTTTTCCAACAGAAATAAATAGTCAAATTGCCAAATTTAAACTCTCATACCTTGAAAATTTTTGTAGATAGAGTTCTTTTAACATTTTTTTAAATATTTCTGGTATCTTATCGTACTTGACATTTTTTATTGGTGGTCTATTTACAAAACAGCCTGTATAGAAAAAGAAGGTGCAGTACTGTTTACTGTTTTTGACCATAGGGTATAGGGTGTACCGCTTCTGGGCCCAGGCTAATGTTTATTTATTTATTAACAAAGTTAATTTGCAATAATTTTTTTACCGGAGGTTTTTACATCAAGTGTTATTAGGCAGAAACCATAAAAGCATTGAAATTAAACTTATTCAGTGTTGCCAATATTTTTATCACAATTATATTTACATTATTTAGTTGCCAATATAATTTCGAAATCACATCCACTTTAAACCCGTGACATTTGTTTTTATGTCATACAAGTCAAATATTACTTTATTGTTCTTTTTTAATGATTTCTTAGTGGAGACACTCCCAAATAATTTAATAATATTAATGTCAATTAATGTTATTTTTATGCTGGAATTGTTGTGCATGGAAAAATATTTTTATCTTTATTGCTGTAAAAAATAGCTATGATAAATATATAAACATTTTGTTGATTTACAAAAGATTAAAAATAAACAAATGCGATAGATGCATTATTGGTTGTTATTTTGACATCAAAACAACTTTATTATTTATTTAAGATTTATATTCACTTAGTAAGCGAATTTAGAGATTTGCTATCTAATAAAAAGTGTTTACTTTGTTGTGCATTACATAAACTTGTTCTTATCACTGGACTATTTACAAATTTTTCACAATTGGTACAAGATATCTAGAATTTGCGCAATTTCATTTTAGGCGGTGTATAATTGGTTGCATATGATATTTTTTGTTTTTATAAAATTTAAATTTTGGTGTTTTTTTCAGATCAATCCTTGACCAAAATGGCAGTGCCGTGGACGCCGCCATCGCCACGTTATTCTGCAACGGAATATACACAATGCAAAGTATGGGTCTTGGCGGCGGTTTCCTCATGACCATCTACATCAAAGACCAAAACAAAGCTTTCACGCTAAATGCAAGGGAGAAAGCCCCTCTGAAATCCACACCGGATATGTATAAAGATGACCAGTTTATTTCCCGAAAAGGTGAGTAACTTGTAATCAATAATTTCACATTTCACAATCAAATATTTTTAGGGGCATTAGCAATTGCTGTGCCTGGTGAACTCAGAGGCTATCAAGCGGCCCACCAAAGATTTGGTAAACTCGAATGGTCGAAACTGGTCGAACCGAGTATCGAACTATGCGAAAAGGGCTACAACATGTCGAAACACCAATACGAATCATTGCGAGACGCCAAAATTGTCAACGATACGAACTTGAAGTGTGTTTTCAAATATTAGGAAAACACATCGAATTTAACATTTTAATGTTTATAGGGAGTGGTTTTTCGATTCTGAAGGTAATTTCAAAAAGATGGGTTCGACGATAGTTCCCAAGAAATTGTGTGAAACTTTACGAATGATCGCGAAAAGCGACGGACACGATCTTTACAATGGTACTTTGAGTAAAATGCTGTTGGAAGATTTGGAGGAAATTGGCAGTATTATAACCAAAGAAGATCTAGAAAGTTACAAGTGAGTTAACTAAATAATAATTCATTTTGTGTTTAATTTAATTTTGATATTTTAGGGCCGAATGGATGGACCCCATTGAAGTGGAGCTCCGCCACCACGAAAAACTTTATTCGGTTCCACCCCCAGGGTCAGGTGCCCTTTTAGCATTCATTTTAAGCATTCTCGATGGATTTAAATTCAAACCGCATGATCTTGAAGGCGTCCATAACACAGTTCGGACTTATCATAAAATAATCGAAGCTTTTAAATATGCTTATGCTAAAAGAACTGAATTAGGCGACGTGGACTTTGTACACATTTCTGAAGTAAGTTGTATTTATTTTAGAGTGATAAAATTTTAATGGTTTGTTGTTTTCAGTTATTACATAATTTAACTTCGCATGAATATGCTGAAAGTATAAGGAAGGAAATTCTAGAAAATTCGACCAGTAATGATCCGAAAGATTACGGTGCCGTGTTTTACAGTAAGGAGGACCATGGCACTGCACATATTTCCGTTTTGGCCGAAAATGGGGATGCTGTTTCGGTTACAAGTTCCGTAAATTTGTAGTGAGTATGAGGAATAGAAGAAAGAGAAAAATACTTGCATTCTCATCAAATAAGTGTCTTTTGTGGTCCGATTTTGCGGAATTAAAAAAAACAAAATCGAACTAAACAATCTCAAAAGTAGAATCTCATCATGCGATTTCTTATGTTGATTTAACCAAATATTGTTATATCGACAATACTATTTAAAAAAATATCGCTAATTCGTGACTTTCATCCTCGGTTTATTAAAATATTATATACGCATAAGCAACATTCTCATTAAAAATAAGAGCAATTGATAAAACAAGCCAAAATCTTATAATCTGTTTTTTTATTTTTATTTGGTATGGGTTTCACTCTAATTTTTTAAGCTGAAGTGTGTATTGAGACTGAGTACTGTTTATGCATAAGTAACCATTAACTAAACAAGTTTATTTAAGATAAGGGCATTCTTTATTAAAAAAAAATCATCTGGTCTCCTAAGACTTAGTTAGCGCCAGCAAATAATCAAAAAAAGTAGTCCTGAGCCCTGAAGCTAAAAGAAATAATAAACAAAAGTTATTTAAAAAATCTGTGTAACGAAACAAACTGAAACAAAACATGTGATGTCTGTTTGTGTTTGTTTTTTTTTACAATAAAATCAATTCTTTAAAAAATATATTAAACTGATTTAAACGTGCCAGAATAAATTTTAATTTAACTTCTTCTAAATAATTTGTGTTTGTTTTATCTAAGATATAAATTAGTCGAAGTGCTGGTAGTGCAATAAAAATTAATATACAGGGTGTTTCACATAATTTTAGGAGGCCTGCGCCTATAGGATACAATCAACAGAACATATTCCGATACGAACTCGATAACAAATTTTGAAAAATTGGATAATCTTCTCTAGTTTGTTCACCCTTTAAAAAATTACAACGTTTTTAGTTAGTTAGTGATTAAGATAGATAAACTAGAATCATATTCATGACGTCTCTTGATAGAACAAATGATAATTGTTTCTGAAAAACTGTAGTTTATGAATATTAATGAAACAGTGATTAGTTTGACAACTACTGTCATGAGTTTCCAAAAATTAAATAATTCGATGTGTATTTTTTGTATCGAGTGTTTTGTGACTTTTGTATATTTGGGTGCGTACATTAAACGTAAAGTTGTGTAAAACACCCTGTATGTTCTTTTTTGTAAGATAATGTAGGTAAGAAAAATTGAACTCGTAAGTCACATTTTTAGCCTATTTACTAGTTATTTTAAAAAAATTATACCTTATTACTCATTTTTTTTGTAACTGTACAATATAGAAAACCACTTACAGCAAGATTAAAACTAATATTATATGAATTTTCTCAACATTTTTGGATAAAAAAAATAATGAGTATAAGACCGATTTAATATGTATAGTTGGTTGCCTGTCGTCAGGATTCGGTATTTACGCGTATAAAGAACGTAAACAACGTAAAGAACTATTATTTTGATGTTAAGTAAATTATTTATTAAATGATTTGACAGTTTTTAAGCATTCTAATGCAGATGAAGAATAAGAATGTAGAATTGTGTTACTACGTTTATAAGAGTAGAAGAAAGTTTTGAATGAAATAAAGTTGAAAATGCTTTGCCCAATCAGCAGTCATTTTAAGCAGTTTGGCTTTGAATTAATGAAAAACGAGTTTTTTTGCAATTGTTATGTTTTCGTTTACTTAATATACAGGGTGATTCACGAGGAATAATGAGCCTGACCAAATTTTCGATGCAACCAACATTACAGTTGTCGCAAAATAACTTGCGAAGAGATTTAACTTGTGGTGCATCGAGAATTTAGTCAGGCTCATTATTCCTCGTGAATCACCTTGTACAGGGTTATTCACGGGAGGGTTATTTCTGAATTTTTTTTTGCCGCAATCAACAATACCAATCTCACAAAGTACTAAATTAAATATGTTATTTCTTTAAAATTACAAATCAAAGTAAGTTGGATAAATTTGCCAGAAATGTCAGATTGACAGATAACCTATATTTAATCAAAATTCAACATATAAATTAACAAGTTAAGTTAATATAAAAGGTGTTTAAAGTGTCTACCATCGACTTCTAAACATGCGCCTAGTCGGTTGGTAAACATAACAAAACATGTCGCATCGTTTGAGAGATAATTTTTTTACTATAATGTCACAGAGACAAGACTAATAACAGCTATCGTGGATTTAGTTATGTTATAATTATTTTCAAAATTTGAAATCAAGAAGTTGTTGCAATATGTATAATGGGTTGCGGCAAGAACAAATTCAGAAATAACCCTCTCGTGACTAACCTTGTATTATACAATTTGTAAAATTTTAGGTTTTCTATTGTTTACGTTCTTTAGAGATTTTATTTATAAGTAATAATTTCTAGTACCTACCTACTTATAGTCTTAGAACTTATAGATATTTAAAATAGTGTTTCTATCTTTGATTATTTTTATAATTTTTTCGTTTTTTATTCCACAAAAAAAAATTAAAAAAATTAGTCTTAAACGCTCAATTAATTCTCTTATGAAATTACAAGAAATTCAGTTTACTATCTGAGTTTGATGTTTGTAGAGTAGGCTAAATTTAAACTGCAAGAAATTTTGCTTTATCTTCTCAATTAATACCACACTGTATGATATTAAAAAATGCCGTTTGTTTCAGTTTCGGAGCTGGTCTGACTTCTAGTCAAACCGGAATTATTTTAAACAGTGTCATGGACGATTTTTCGTTCCCTTATTTTCAAAATTATTTCAATTTACCTGGATCTCCGAACAACGAATTGAGGCCGGGAAAGCGGCCGTTGTCATCAATGAGCCCCACTATTTTAGTGGATGAAAATGGAGACGTAAAATTGGTTCTGGGGGCTTCGGGGGGAACCAAAATTACCACATCTGTTGCGCTGGTAAGTGAAAAAAATTCATTTTTGTTTCTAAAATAATGTCCCATAAATCAAATTTTAAATGATGTTTAAAATCGTTTTATATTCAATACGAAAGGAAATTAGTAATAAAAGGTAGAACCATAAAACTTATAAATGTGTTTACAACTATAGGTTAGACAGTTATTACAAGTATTTAAATATGTTGGCCATTGCTTAACGTTTAACACCGGATGTCTCAATAGGATAGCACACTGCGGATATCCATCAAATCAAGACATTTTTATTAAAGGTGTTTGTTGGTATGCAAAAGAGGAAAGCATTCAAATGCTTCTAAAAGGTTCAACGTTCAAGATTTCTCATCAGTTAAAAACTTCACACGATAAGCATTTTTATTATAAATTATAACAATCCGCAGTAAAAAATACAAAAACATACATACTGCATAAAATATGAAAAATTCAGGAGATTATTTTGACAATATGGTCAAGTCACTGTAGGCAAAGTGACAAAGACATTGTTATACCAATTGAAAGGAAGCTTTTCATCATCAGATAGACTTAGTGGTATACAGGATGTTCCGTTTTTATTGTTACAAATTTAAACAGGTGATAGGATATTCAATTCTAAGACAAAAGTTTTCTATAAACATGTATCGAAAAATGCTTGGTAAGGGAGCTACTCCCCCTGGAAGGGGGCTAATATGTTTTTGCTAATATTTCAGAAACCATTTAAGATAAAATTACAAAATTTGGTACAGATGATAATCTTTATACACCTAAACGAATTCAAACATCAAATGTCGAAATTTTTTATCAGGGGCGTACGAAACTGGGGGAGTTTAAGGTAAAAAAATACCCTATTTATTTTGGCTTTAGTTTCTGGGTACTTTCAGCAACAAAATCTTAAGTTTGATAGTTTATCACAGAAAAGTCTCTTTTGTGTTGATGCGACTTATTGTTTTTCAATAAAATTAATTTAAAATTTATGTTACACACCAATACAACATTCAAATAAATCAGAATTTACAGAATAATAAAAGCAAGAAATGCATATTTTTTAATCAACCTCAACTAATTAACATTACATTACAGTAACAATAATAACATTAATTAAATTAATTTGCCTAAATCTAAAGGAGTTGTTCAAAGTGACCACAATTTTGGTTAATGCATAACTAAAGAAACTAGAGCCAAAATAGATAGGGTATTTTTTTACTCTAAACCTCACCAGTTTCGGACGCCCCTGATTAAAAATTTCGACATTTGATGATTGAATTCGTTTAGGTGTATAAAGATTATCATCTGTAGCAAATTTTGTAATTTTATCTTAAATGGTTTTTGAAATATTAGCAAAAACCTATATTAGCCCCCCCATTCAGGGGGTGTAGCTCCCTTATCAAGCATTTTTCGATACATGTTTATAGGAAACTTTTGTCTTAGAATTGAATATCCTATCACCTGTTTAAATTTGTAACAATAAAAACGGAACATCCTGTATACGTCAATGAACATAATAATTCTTCAACCAGAAAATCACACAATATAAGAAAACGCAGATTGAATTAAATGCTGAGAAAATGAAGATAAACTTACATTCCTTATATTATTTTATATCATTAAATTTCTGATTAAAGTGGGCTGCGACTTTGAAATTAAGTTGTCAACACTGTATAATGTGGAATAACATAATGTGATTTTTGTCATTAAGTGGGCACAAGTCACAAATCTTAATTTGGCAACATTGTCTACCAAATTCAAACGTCACAGTTTTATACTCAATTGTCAATCACATAGCCGTGATCCTATACCGCCAATAATTAATTCAATGTTGCCAATCTAATTGCATAGTATAATTATAATAAATGATAAAAATAAAATAATTTTAATAATGAAAAATAATTTAATCCCATTTAAATAATTCCAACGTAATTAACACTTATGATCCCTAGGGCGCACATTTTTGATTAAAATAGCGATCGAATTAGACTAATAAATTATCCAAAAGCAATTAACATACTAATGTGTTGGTCATTTAATCAAAGTGGTTCCATTAAATAACAAAATAAATAATTTTATTGACTATTTTCAGGTAATTATGCGCACGCTCTGGTTCGGCCAGAATATCAAAGAGGCTATTGACGCTCCTCGAATCCACCACCAGCTCTACCCCATGCAAATCCAGTACGAATACGGCACACTACAGGTAAAATCAAATTTTTCAACCATTTGAAAACCCACCAAGATCCCACTTTCAGCAAGTAGTCACCGGTTTAGAAGCCCTAGGCCACAAAACCAAACGTTACACCGACGCAGGTTCCATAATTTGCGCCCTGTACAACACCTCCGGCTTAATCCAAGCCAACGCCGACTACCGAAAAGGCGGCGACGTCTACGGACTGTGAATCTGTTTTGTTTGCACTATTACTTCCCCTGTTTTTGCCAGTAATAAATTTTAATTTAGTGACATTGTGTTTTACTTCCCCTCTCGGCGCCGTCTTCCATGCGTGGGAAGAGCATGAAATGGAAATGTTTTATTGTTATTATTCCTCAAGAGGTGTGCTGTGAGAAAATTCAAATGTTTATTGCAATAAAACACCATGCGTTTAATTAATTTTCCTACGACCATATACGAAACTAGATCATAACGCACAATTACATATGCGTGAAAATTGGCAATATCGTACGAGGTCGAAAACCTGTGCGAATTGTTTTCGCACTGTGTGTTAGAAATTTAACGCACGATTCACACTCGTATGTTTTGTATTTTTTCATTCAACGTATTTTTTTTGTATCCATTATAAAAAATAAATCGTTATTCAACGTATTTTTGTATCCATTATAAAAAATAAATCGTTATGAAAAAAAATATGTTCATAAGAAAAAAAATATTTATGGTCGTAGGAAAAAAAGTGTGCAAAACTTGCAGGAAAGTGTCTAACGCACTCGCGGTATTGCCTGCACTCGCATAACGCCTCGTGCGCAACTTTCCCGCTTGTGCGTTATTTGTCACTTTCCGTGCTCGTTATGTAATATACTACTTCTGATCAAAATACGTTATGATTTTGAAATTAAGTTGGTTAGATTGAATTATCTAGATGTAGTGTGTCCCCAGATACGTGAAACGACTCTTGTAAAACATAAAAAATTCTCGATTTAAATTTTTATTTTTTGCGGTTCTACCCTGATTGGTTAAAGATTAAGTTGTAACATAATTTTAGTTTTGAAAAATAAACTAGGTATGTTTTGGAAATTTTCAAAAAACTACAGTGTGTTCAAAAAGTCTTTCTACCAAGTAGACGTACTAGTTGAGATCGTTTGTCGCCTGTCAGTTCGTGTGTCAGCTAGATGTCAAAAAATTATTTTATAAAAAATATTGATTTAAGCAAATTGATTTACTGTCCTAAAACACTTTAAAATGTAATGTAGTTGGTGTTTATTTATACAAATCGGTCACCACGATCTGCTGTCGCAGTTTACATAAAAAATATTTTGACATTTCTTATTTGTCATTGTGACATTACTCCCTAGGATTTTGAGATATTCGTGAATAGGTTGCCATAAATTTGGTTAGGTTGGTTTTTGGTGACAAACAAAAGATATCGTAACTAGTGTCAAAATTTAGGTTAAGTCACCTGTCAGCTTGTATGTAAAATTCAATTAATAGTTGACAGCAGGTTGACAGAAAACGTCAACCGACTACAACAAAGGGTAACCAACCCTAAGCATTCAAAATTACTTCTGAAAATTATAGTTACCAACAAATAAAAAACGTAATTTTCCTAAAAGTTCAAATCCTAGATGATAATTTGTTTGATAGACAGACTTTTTGATCGCACTGTATTTTTCTGTAAAGTGGCTTTTATGTGGTAAATACGACAAAAAGTTATTAAGAAAAGTTGTTTAGAATTAACATTTAGGCCCATATAAAAAATTTAAAAATCATCGGGCAACTATGCTTTTTCATTTTATTTTTATTAATTCACAAATCAAAGAATTTTATTTTTAACATTTCTATTTATTACGAATAAAAACAATTTACATTTAGATTATTAGTAATAATTAAATTTTTGACGTTTCTGTTAATAAAAAGCAATTATGTTGGAAAAAATAAAAAGTCATAGTTTGTCGATTATTTTCAAATTTGGTATACGGGCCTAAATGTTGAGTCTAAACAACTTGTCTTTATAATTTTTTGTCGTATTTGTTACATAAAAAGCACTTTATAGAAAACTTTTCAAAGCATATTGATTTTTCAAAACCAAAATAATGATAGAAATTAGTTTTTAACCCAAGCTGGACTAAACCCCAAAAAATATAAATAGAAATCAATTTTTTTTATCTTTTACAAGAGTCGTTTCACCTATCCGAGGACACACTGTAGAAGATATGAGACAAGTCTATTTCATATTTTCTGTATTTGTTTTTCAGTGTCGCTAACTTAATTTTAGAATCACGGGCCATTTTGATCAAAAATTGAAATGAACACACCTAATTTTAGAGTGTGCCTTCGTTTTTGAGGGAACTAAAGATCAACGAGAATAATAAAAAACAATGTGGTAATTCAAATGCTTTATTGTTATTATTCCTCGTGGAATCTGTGAGAAAATTCAAATGTGTTTTTTCGTCTTGTTGAGATTGTTTTTTTCTACACTTTATCGACTGGAAACTAGTAATTATAAAATCCGAAACGTAATAACTCGGAGCGAACTTTTCATTAAATTGCGACGAGTATCTAATTAACTGTAAAATTACATAATTATGGGGGGCTTGAGTATGGTTTTATTCATTTGACAGATGCAGTTTGCGATTACTTGTAAGTGTAATACCGAACGGTAAAGGCCATTTAGTCCATATTGAGCCGTTAAGTGACTTCTTATTGACTGTTTTATTTCATCGTATTTAATTATTATTCAATAGACTTGCGGTGAATAAAAACAGGAACAAACGTTACTTTACTACATTTGCTTCTCTTTCCGCCATTCCAATTTTCGACCATAAAAATTTTTGCATAATCGATCGGAATTCCTAATTATCATCCCACGATGGGTGGGATCTAAACCATCTAAATGGTAATTCATGAGATTAACCGTTGAGCACGGCTCTATTTACACCTTCAAATATGACGTAATCTTGTCACCGTTTCTTTCCTGTGCAACCGCTATAGCACAGGATTTGATTCACTCAATCCGCAACTATCGAAGAGTGGTATGATAGTTACTAGGAGACGGTGGCTGTCTTTGGGTTTGAGTGTAGTCGCGGTGGTTTTTTGCTGTTTTGAGTTTCTCGGGAATGTTGAGGAGAATAGAGGGTTGAAAAGTGAGAAGAATAGAAAAATTGTAGCGTTTTCATTGAAGAAACAGATTGAGATTGAAAGTGAAGAAGTGGACTGTAGTGGTGGGGTTTTGATTGAGGAAAAGTCGGAAAATTTGGAAAATGAAAAGTGGACTCAATTAGATGGAACAAATATTTTTATTTATTCGATTTACTTAGATCGGAGATTGGAGCCGCATCACTATCTGAGGATAATGACAATGGTGAAAGGTAAGTTTTTAATTTTGTCACCCTATTTATAGTGTTTTTCATTTTTTTTTATTTATTTTTGTGTTTAATAATTATGATTTTTTGCTTAGTAGAATGAGGTTTTATTAAAAGTTGTTAATAGGTACATACTTGAATTTTCCTTAAAATCTTGAATATTACAAAATAATATCCTGCTTTATACACACAAATATTTTTTTGTGAAACTTTTGATATATCTACAATTGATATTAAAAAAATATCAAAAAAATTACACTAATTTCAAAAAACAAATAAATATTTTACTATCAAAAATTGCTAAATGATCATGAAATATAAATAATCATTTGTTTAGAAAATATTAGCTGGTAAAGAAACAAATATACAAAAAAAATGTATAAAACATTACTTTTTTGGTCTTGTTTTCTAGTACCTTTCAGTATAGTTTTACAAGATGAAGAGAGTGATTTCACTAAAAACATTGTATAAAATGAAAAAATATTTTGTAAAAATGTGAATTCCACGATTTTTGAAGAACTGTTATTTTTATTAAAATATCTTTTAGCTTCTACAGTTGTATTTGTTGATAATTATTGGTGATAAGTTTAAATCGAAGTATGGTAAATTCACCTTTAAAAAATTTACATTTTGTACTACAGTGTTTTCCAAATATTTTGAAAAAATCCAACCACATTTTCTACTGTCAAATTCAAAAGAGCGGTCGTCAATGTCAATTTAAAAATTAATAAATAATAAATAATTCACATTATGAAAATAAAATTAATTTGTCAACACAATACCAAACTTCATAAAGCCAAGTATTTTTTTTTTGTAAATTGAAGTAGGTTATTTACACAGGAATAATTAACTTGATACCAAAATGTGACAATGACGACCACTTTTTCTTAACACTTACAGGTGTCCGGAAAGTCGCGCACCTCCGTGACACTATATTATCGGACGGTGTCCTAAACAACAAGAAAAATGTTAAAAAATCTATCTATAAAAATCTTGTTTATGTAGTTGTGTTGTCGCAAAAAGCCACTTTTGGGCCACTGACATTTACGCAAATTAGCCAAAAAATAAGAAATAAAAGTTCCCTAAAAAATATATATAATGATCCTAAGTAAGATTTGAAAATCAAAATTGCTAACAAAAACTTTTAGATGAAGAACTTTCATTCTAATTCTCTTAAAGAATAACTCACATTTCACGTAAGTCTTCTTCTTTCGAATTTTTAAAACATAAAACAGCAGACTAAAACCTCCAAAATATATACAGGGTGCGCCAGAACTCGCGCCCCAGAGAAAAATGCCATATAAGGTAAGATACCAGGAACATGGAAAAAATGTTAAAAAAATTTTATCTATAAAAATTTCGAAGTTATGAGAGTTTAAATTTTGAACTTAGGCTTTATTTATTTCTGTTGGAAAAATAATTTTCCAAGTATTTTTGCTACAGGTTATTAGAAGAGGAAACAAAGAAGCTATATCCTAAAATGTAACTATGTTTAATGTTATTTGTGGCTTTTATTGGCAAAATTTTTGTACCTTTACTAAATAATTATTAAAAAACATAAAACATTTTTTTAGTACTCTGGGGGACTACCCAATTACTCCCTTTCAAGGAAGTGCGCAACTTACCGGACACCCCTGTATAAAAAAATAAAAACGAAAAAATCTAGTGACGTGTATTTTTCGGAAAATAAGCACTTCCAATGGCTTCACTGACTATTCTAAAATTTTAATTTTTATCATGAAACTTTATCACCCTGTATATTCGTAATGAAGCTTTATTTAAGACTGTCATTTATTAATTTGACAAATTTGTGTTGTTTTTTGTTGTAGAATATGTGGTTGTGATTTTTATTAAACACGACGCGTTTCAAATTTCAACCACAAAGTGGTCTTTCTCAGGTGAGAATTATAACCAAAACTGGAGGTCCAGAATAAAATAAAAAATACATCGTATACAGTGTGTCTCCGGATAGGTGAAACAGAAGGTGAAAGGGCTCTTGTAAAACACAAAAAATTCCCGATTTTTAACATAATTTTAGTTTTACAAAAATTAAATATGGCTTGAAAATTTTCAAAAAACTTAAGAAAAATTGTTTAGAATCAAATCTAGGCCTTTATACAAAATTTCAAAATCATCGGCTAACTGTGATTTTTCATATTTTTTTGTAAAAATTATTAAAAATTTATTACAATTTTTGACATTTTTTTGTAAATTTATAAAATTAAAATTAAAAATTTATAAAAATAAAATTCTTTGATTTGTGAAAGAACAATAATAAATGTCAAAATTACAGTAAACCAGATATTTTTCGAAAGTTCGGGGCAAACTGTTATTATTTTTGTAACCTAGCAACGGATATAATTTTTCATTCAAACCTTGAGGTGCCCTTCTGGGATTGGTGGAATTAAGAGTCTCGCAACTTACTTATGCAAGCAAAAGTTACTTCTTCGGCTGCACTTTTTGGCGACCTATTGCCGCCGGCACTTGACATTTTTCTCTGGGGCGCAAGTTCTGGCACACCCTGTATAAAAAAATGAAAAATCATACCTACATAAACTTTTTAATATCATTATTAATTTATAAAATTTTAACATTGGACTGCTAATAAATCTAAAATAATTATTCTCTCGTTCGTTAACGCACAATTAAGCGATATAAATTTGACCTATCACGGTTCTCTATTAAAAAATTCATCACGTCAATAGCAAATGGAAATAAAATTTTGTCGATCACGCAATTTGTTGACTTCAAAAACAATGTTCCCAGCACGAATAAAATTTATTCGGACGCAATCGAGCGACTAACCCGCCTCCTCTGGTGGGTAATTATTATTTTTCCGTGGGATTTTATCATTCGTGATTTCCGGGTGTCTTGCACAATTGGTAATTTTATTTGCAAAAAATTATTTTGTCTTTATGAACAAGAGGCCTTGTCTCGTAACTCGTGGTTACACCGATTCAATGGAATTTTAAAATTCTAAAACCCTATTTACATATTTGTGAAACCGTTATCGGGCTTAAATTTTTATGACATTAAATTCGAAAAATTTCGTTGAGAATTCTAAAAGATGGGAACTGTATTTAACGTTATCTTTATTTTTTGTTTCGTATTTTACATGCTTGAGTGAGTTTATAATTAAAAGTCCATTCTTGAAATTTCTATGAAGATGTAAAATTTTATTACAAGGATAAATTATGAGAGTGGAGGGCAATTCTAACGTAACGACAAAAATTACCATAATTGCAAGTGAAATAAGCAACAGCTTTATTTACACTTGTTTCATTTTCCGCAACAGTACCTACTTTCAACTCAATTTTCTTTAAGGTAACCATTAGGTTGAATTGTTTTCAGATAATTAAATTCAAAAGTGATTATTTGAAATTTTATGACTAAAGAAAATTGCAAATTTTAAATGTTACTCACTAATGACATGTATAGATATTTTATTTAACTAACAGTAAATAATACCAATTATTATCCGCAAGGAAACCGCAATAAATAAATGGATTTCTATGGAAAATGGAAATTTGAAAAATTCCAACTGTTTTTTTAAGAAAATCATTTATTACTTATATGAACAGGAAGCAATTATACTGTGGAGTTGTGACTAAAGTTACGGATTTTAAGAAATTAATTATTATTCTTTCTTTTATAAGTGTTTTTTTCTTCAACTTATAACATTTTTTTATTTTTAGAAAATAATTACTCTTAACTGTTTTCTGTAATTATTATTTATTCAGTCTTATGCCAACAATCATTATTTACGACATAAACGTTCAACCGACATGCCTTAACTAATTTTCGTAATAAATATTTTAAACATTTTAATTGAAATTTTTAAGTCATAAGACTTTATGCTTAAAATTTTATTCTCTCAAACTGTTTAAAGGTTTTTATTAAAATTATTCAAAATATTTTTTACACATATATTATTCATTAGTTTCTCAAATTTTTGAGATTCTTCAGAACTCTTTTTGTTTATCTATTTAGTAAAATAATTTTACATTAAAGTGAATTAATTAATTTGGGTTGCATTTACTACTCCATCAAAAATTATACCGGATGGCTATAATAATAATAATTGTGTTTTTTGTAGTCAAGTTGGCAACAAAGTTGAATATGAATATGGCAACCTTTGTACTTCTAGGTTTAACCGAACTTAATTTATAAAGATTGGCATTTGGAGAAAAGTATTTTTGACAAAAATATACTATTTATTTTGTTAATTTTTTTTACCAAAGTGGTCTGTGACTTTGAAATTAAGTTGACAACAAAATGTAAAGACAGAGACAAAATTTTAATATTTATGAAAATTTGCAAGTCTTGTATCTTATTCTGTCTGCATCATTCAATGTTGCCAATTCAATTTTAAAGTCACAAACCGCTTTCTATTGAACATTTGCTTATTGAAAATTAATAAAGTGGTAAAAGCAAAATATTCGTTAATTTTTTTATTATTATTTATTTTACCAGTAAACGTCACTAAGTGACCAGTTTTATTACGCAAATATGTCACAAGTAAATAAAGCTTTACCTTTCAGGTATGGAGTAAAAAATTCTGTTTTTTTTACTTTTACTTTGACATGATATTATTGACATTTACCAATGCTGTTTCTTTCTTGCTTCTTTCGCTGCTTCAGCAGTTTTGAAGAGATACATTGTAGATCATCAGCAGTCGACATATTAATCTACTAACTGCACTAGTCATCCACTAGTTAAATCAATAAACATTTTCGAAACTCTCAACCCAAATTCAGGTTTGTTCATCACTTTTACTGCTAATAACATAATGTACTACTAATCACATTATTTTCAAAATTCTCACCATTCAAAATTTTTTATTTGTAAATTAAATTTTGTTTTGTGAAATAACTATCATTATTTTTCAGGAACCCCCAGCAAGAATCTTTTTTGCCAAATTGCTACATCTGATCACCACTACCACGTGACCAAAGCAGTAGTAACAAAAATTTGGTCAGAATCATGGAATCAAAACGACACTCATTTGTACTTCAACCCCTACCTCGTATCTTGCCATTTACCCTTAAATAAAACCTCGGTTTATCTCTCCCTTAACAAAGACCCTTGTCGAATTTCACGTCAAAAATTTATAATAAAAACTCCCAATGTGGAGGAATTTCGAACCTCCTTCGCGGTATGTGTAAAACCTCTAAATTTTCCAAACGACATTTCCGAACATCTTCTTCAGTGGATTACTATAAACCGAATCCTGGGGGCTGGAAAAATCGAGTTTTACATTGAGACTCTCCAAAAGAAGACTCGCAAAATTCTTGAAACTCTCGGGAAGTACTCAAACGGTGGTTTAACTCTCCACGACCATAAACAGATCGTTCAAGAGCCAACTTTCGAGCACTCAACCCACATTTGGCAAAAACGACGTTACGAAATCATCGCCTACAACGACTGCCTTTACCGCAACATCCACACGTCACACTTTGTAATTCCTCTCGACATAGACGAAATAATTGTACCAAGACATGGAAGCACGTGGGCGGAAATTCTTAACAGGACTGAAGACACTTTTGCTTCGTTTACTGTTAGAAATGCCTATTATCTCCGCCATTTCAACGTGAAAAAATCAAAAGAGAAAATTTTTTTCTTCAAAAGGACAATCCGGAGTGAGTTTAGTGATGAGGGAGAGTCGGGTAAAAGCTTTGTTTCGACGAAGAATGCCTTGACAGTGTTCAATCATTACGCTTTAAGGAGTTTGAAACCGGGAATTGGATTGGTAAAGTTTTTAAATGAAAGTTTAGTGCAAATGAATCATTATAAAGATGACTGTGATATTGTGATATTGCCGGAGTGTGCCAAATATTTGTCTAGTCCTGTGAGGATTGTTGATAATGTTATTTTTAAATATAAGAGATTATTCTTTTCAGAGTATGAAAAGTTGTTAAGATTGATTTTGTAAAATTTTTAGTTATTTAAAGATTGGGAATTAGTTTTATTCAAATCGTATGTTATGTTGACATTTTTAACCTTGCCGATAGTTGGAAAGTGTCACATTACTGACCTTATAGAAGCTATTACCTACTTCCATTACCACCCTTGTTTTCTAGTCCCACTGTTGCCACATTTAAAAAAAATTAAAACAAACTCACAACGCATGTTTTATTGATTCATTTATCTAAACGATCCATACGGCGACATACGTTTTTCTAATGCAAATTCTTGTTCAATGAACAAACACATCATAAACTTTTGTTTATAATTTAATCAGCATCAGTGGGATCTCCTTGTCATACAATTTTGTAAAAAAAATAATTAATCAAGTGTAATTTTGCTGTCATAATCCTGAGACTCAAATAAATTTTGATATTTTTGTTAAATCACAATTTTCAAAATACCTACAAATACCTATCATTTTCTTACCTAATTTTTAGTTAAGTAAAATACAGGGTGTCCCAGGGACGTGAAAAAGTCCATTAGTGACCTTTAAGTGGTAAGATTAAAAAATATATATACAGGCTGTTCGGTCTAAGTCGCCCCGGCTGATAACACCTAAACTTACTTCTTTTTTTTTTCAAAAAGGAAATATTTAACTAATAATATTCATTCTTAGCTTTCTTAATAAATGTATCAAATTTTTTTAAGCACATCCGGTGTTGCCGGAAATGCTACCAAATTTAGTTTTTCAAATGGAACACCTATGTTTTTTTTCCTCCAAACAATAATAATTAACATGAAAAATACTGTAAACCACTATTTATTACATTTTGCGTAACACAATGCAATCAAAAAACATCTTAAATCTTAGAATTTTATAATGAAATTAGTCGCTTAGCCTGATTTTTAATTTTAAAGGAAAGGTGTGAAAAAAAAATGCTTGGATACAGTTTAATTGTTGGTTTGACAAATCTAATTTGTCAGTTGATGAGCGAGTTCTCTTATGGAAAGTCTTGGATTTTCTGCGATTAATATTCAGATTTCTATTTTCTTGTTCTTCACAAAGAACCACAGGTTTTTTATTTTTAAGAAGCGAACCTATTCATCTCAGTTGTTTTTCAATTCGACTAAATTTCCAACGATTTGGGTGAACTCTATTTGAGTATTTTTCTCTATACTGTCTTTCAGCTTCCGCTCTATTTTTATTGCACTTAAAAAACACTTCAAGCTAATCTACCAATTCGTCGTAATTAATATCATCCATTATTAAAGATCTCAATAAGATTTATTGACAAATTAGGCTTTTTTAACAGTTAAACGGTATCCAAGCATATTGCTTTTTGCATGAATACCTTGACAAGTAAAATCCGCCTACGTTGCAAAATTTGCAATAAAATTCAAAAATTTAAAATGTAATAAAAAGTGGTTTACCGTATTTTTCATACCATTTATTATTGTTTTGAGCAAAAAAACATAGGTGTTCCATTTGAACAATTAAATTTGGTAGCATTTCCGGCTACACCTGATGTGCCAAAAAAATTTGATGCATTTACTAAGGAAGCGATGAATGAATGGTATTATTTAAAAATTTAGTTTTTGAAAAAAAAAGTAAGTTTAGGTGTTATCGGCCGGGGCGACTTGGGCCGAACACCCTGTATAGAATATTGATAGATACTAATCTAGTCTATCGCCTAAAATTAGTTTTAATTATACAGCGTGTCTCAAAAATAAGTTATAATACAAACTTGTTTTTTTTAACAAAATACCATATGTTTCTTAGCGTTTTTAGATGTAGATTTTTATGACAATGTTTTTAAACCAAACTTTTATTGGTCGATTTTGCTTAGTTTTAAAAATAAGACGATTTTTTCTGACGAAAACATGTACTTTTAAAAAAATTATTACACAAAAACTAAGACATCTAGAAATATTTTTTTATTACCGCAAAAAAGAAGGTTAAGCTCTAAGGTTGTAACATTTTTTGTGTGTTGCATTTGCAAAGATAAAAAATGAAGACGTTTGTTAAAAGTTCAATAACTTTAAAAAAATAAGTGAAACACTACTTATTGTTTTTGCATTTAAAAGATTATTAAATTGTCTTGGCAATACTGAATTTAATTATTATTATTATGTATTATTGCTCAATAAAGATCAGCAGAAACCCACCACTCTGCATGTCTATTGGTTTAAGTTTTATACTGCTTTTCAATGCTACATTCCATTAAAAAAAATATGAGTGTATGAAAAATGGAAAGACACGTAGTCAGTCAAAAGTTACATTGTAACGTATTACTGGTTGCATTTAAAGTTCGTCAGGGTCGTAAAGTATTAAAAAAATGGAAACTACAACAAATAAAACATTCAAAAACAGCGTGACCGGCGATTTCATTTCATGCAAAATATCAATTAACAGCTTGAATGGTTTGTTAGAAATAATTTATTGTTCAATTGAATTTAGTTTTTCATCAAACGTGAGTTAACGTTGGTAATATTTATATTACTAAAATTAGGAAATATGTATCAACTTATTGGCAATAATAAAAAGTATTTTAAGGTCGTACATTTATTTCACATATACACTTAATTTATGCAGTCAGGACATTGTGCTTCTGTAAAAGCCCTTTCAGCTCCTCAATCACTCTTTCATCACGTTTTTTCGATTCCAAAGCATGCATTTGAACAGTTTCCACCATTTGCTTATACTTGCATTCAAGACTGTTAAGTGCGTTTCTCAATTCTTCCTGCTTTGCGGCTGATGTTCGGACGATCAAATCGGCTTTCTGTGCTTGAAGTTGCACCTAATAAACAATATTATGTAATACTGGCGCAAAATAAACCGAAATAATCACCTGGCTTGTTACTTCTTTCAAGTCCAGCTCCTCTTTCAATTTTTCAATTTTTTTCGTATAATCTTTTTCGTTCCGGTGGAGGATTCTGTCCAGTCTAGAGAGACACTTTTTCAAGTTTAGTATCTGATCAGAATTTCCTTGATTTACTGGTTGACTCTCCTTAATTTTTATTTCGCTCTGCAGTCTAAAAAACACAGTCGCTACCAACATTGCAAAACAAATTACCATAAAATGGGTGCTTTAATAGCCATTTTAGCACCTACTCGTGTATTTTTTGTTCCTTCTCTTGTAGCAAAGTCATGTTTGAATCGCTCAAATTCTTGATTTTCGCCTCGTACTCTTCCTTCAAACTGTTAATCTTCTCCTGCATTTCACTAATTTTGCTACTATAGGACTTTTCCAAGCTTGTAATTTCCTCATTGTGGTACTTTTTCAAATAGTCGACTTCTTTCTGCCTCAAGTGTGCAAACTTCTCTTTAAATTCATTCATTTCCTGCAAAAAACGGTCAAAATCTTTTTAATTTTTTCATAATTGACCCCCACTTTACTCTTGACTTTATCCAACTCCAAAAACTTCTTTTTCTGCGACTCTAGTAACACTTGTAGTTCCGCCTTTTGTTGCTCCACCTCTGATAATTTCGCCTGAAGCGTCTCGAGTGTTTTTTTTCTGTCTTGTGTCAAACAGTGAGTGTCTCTGAGTGCGTTTTTGACTTCAAGCAAATCCTAAAATCACACTAGAACCCAAAGTGAAACAGCCCCCTTGTTGGTACCTTCATTCTCATTTTGAGCGCTTCCAGTTCTTGAGCCGTAGGTTTGCGGTTTGAGTTTTCCTCAGCTAAGAATTTCTCAGGATTGAAACTGTCTTTGCTTTTTTCTTCTTCGTATTTCTTTGCGAATTCTTCCTTGGTTTTCAAGCCTTCCATTAGGTGTTGAGTCCCTAATGATTTATTCTCGTCGTCTTCTTGGTCTGTATCCCCACATCCCTGCGTCCCGGAAGGACTTTCATTCAAATCATACCACGAGCCACTTGTCTCCGACTTCTTTTCCTCACCTTGCCCCACAGACCCGAGCTTTTGAAACGGCCGAATTAGTTTAGTTTTGATGGGTTTGTTCCTTTTTTGGGGCCACGTGTTTGTTTTACTTTTATTCAAATTTTTGTTTGATTCTTGTAGAGAAGGCCGTGATGTGACAAAGGGCCATTGATTTTCGTCTTTTTGAAAAAAATGGTCGGAAATACGGGTCGCATCGTCTTCGGTTTGCAGACGGTGGAAGGTTTTTATTCGTGGGAGGAGTCCTCTGGGTGGGTTGTACGTGAAGGGCGGTTCTAAGACATTGTCCTGGATCTGATTGGCCAACTCGAGTAAGTACTTGTTGCGCTCCGCCTTTTCGGAAAAATGGGCGTTGCTTAACCGTTCCAGCCACACCCTGTAGCTTTCTAAATGGTAATGGTTGTCGATATGGTTAATATGGGGCTTAATAGCGATTAAAATTTGACGAAATTCGGCTTCTAACAATTCACTTTGTACGTCATCATTCATGTCGCTTGTTTTTCTTGTAAACTAACAAAAATATTAATTTAGGCATTCGCCTTGAAGACTTAACGAGACATCGAAAGGTGAATTCTGACACTTTTAATTTGAGTGACGTGTAATAACTTGATCGGTTTAAGAGACAAAAATATAAAAACTTTATTTCAAAGCATTTTGTGCTTACAACACACACAAAAGTAAAGCTTATTTTAAATATCACAAGAGTCAAGTAGGTACTGGAAAACTAGATATTCAATCTTCTTTGACCTCGGACACGACACCCCAAAGACAATTGAGTCTCGCAATCGCTTTTTATTTGTTTCAAATGCTTCTTGATTGGGTCTATTAGAGTTCCCATCACTTCTTCGGTTGTGTGTTGGTAAAAAATAGGCTCTAGGTGCGTTTTCAGGTACGATTCTAGTGACATAAGCTCGTTTAATAACCTACAAAAAAATATTTTTTTTTTCTGGTGACACTAAATCAGGACATACTCGGTTATAACCGGAAGGATTGTATCCACTTGCATTGGATTGGTGTAGTTGTTTGAGACTTGCCATTGGTTGAACCAAGAATGCATCCTGTAAATCAACCAATCAGGTAATCAAGATTGAACAACCAACACAATACTCACTGATCACTATCTATAACATTCCTGTATTTCCCCCGAAAGTTAACAAACCATTCAAGTCCCACAAAAACCGGCCAACCTGGGAAACTCAAAGTTGGTAATACTGGCGTCCTTATGGGACTCCCAAAATTCGTTGTGTTTTCATTATACCCCAACATTTTTCCCACAGAACTGAAACTAAAAATTTAGATTTGGAAACCCAATTTTAGAAAAAATACTTGTGCAACTCCTGGTTATAGCCCCCGTTGAGCCACGTCTTGAGACACAGACTTAAAGACGGCACTGCTGAGGGTAACAATTCGCATAAAGTTGCATAATGGTCATACCGCGACCAGCCGGTAAAAGCGATTCCTTTAAAATTCAAAATCTTGCCGGCATGTTGCCCCAATTCAGAGAGCCAAGCTTCATGATTACTCACGTGGAATTTATTAATTGGAAGGATTTGACAGCTGGAAGTGGCGCCTTTGAATGCAGACGCGGCCCAAATATTTGTGAATACGTTACTGTATTTCTCCCATAAAGTAGGGCCCAAATTGAAGGTTTCAGCCGAGTTGTAATGCCAAATCATTGGTTCGACCAAAGTCCCTAAATAATAGGCTATTTTTTGTGTAAATTTTTTGTATTAGAGTAATTGGGCATTCACCTTGTAAAATTTGGGTATCAATTGATCTCAGCATGTCGTCCCAAATAATTATTTTTAAATTTGGGTAATTCTCTTTGACGTATTGTGCAACTGCGGTCACGTAATCGAGATAAAGGCCCGGCTTGCCGTACTTACTGGTAGTTACTCTCTTAGAGCATGCCGAGCATAATCCCATATGCCACACCTTTAATCAACAATTTAATTATTGAATAAAATTATCACAAGTTACCTCATCGGCCCCTATGTGAATATACTGGATTGCTTTATGAAATGTGATTATTTGTTTCAATAAATTGCGCACTAAAACCATAGTCTCACTATTACAGGGGCACATTGAGCTAGGATAAGCCTCAACTTCCCTCAAATGTCTCCACTGTTCATGCTTTAAAACATATTCCATATGCCCGAAAACTTGCACCAAAGGTATTACACTCAATTCACAATCTGTGGCTAATTCCTAGGTTTAATAAAGTACAAAAAAGACAAACCTACCTATATCAAGTAACTGCCTCGCTTCCTCTATGGTATAAGGAGCCCCACTGACTTGAGCACTGTTCGATAAGCCCCCAATCGGCAACAATTCTCTGGTATACGGAAACGTATCTTCCCATTCTAGTAAAATACCAGTAGCCCCCAGATCTTTAATAAGAGGAAAAAACTGAAATTGACATTTAAAAGTGAGGTTACGTTGTTTACAATAAACTTACTTTTTCAAAGTAACATAGCTTCGGAGGGGCCCCTTTCAGGTCCAAGTGTACTAATCTGGAGAAAAGTGACTTAGATGGGTGATTTTGAAGGGCAATAAGGCAATATTTACCTTTGGGAACCTAGCGTCAAAGCATCCATTTTCTAACCTCACTTTCACTTGTCAAAACTTGTAAACAAATCAATTGATAGATAAGAGGACGTAATAACAATAATATAACGGTTAATTAAGGTAAATTTTATTACATTTAAGACTTGATAAATCGGATTGATGTCACAATAAAATGAAATCCCAATATGGTTTAGTCGTACTCTAGGACATGTTTGTGGTAAAACAGTAAATATCTGGAAGTAAAAAATGATTTGGGTTTAATTGCAATTGCATGTTGTATCTTACCCTTCTGAATCTAAAACTTCTTTGAGTGTTGCTCTTGTTATGACATGGTCGTCACATTTGTACCAATAATCTCGTAATTGTCTTACATAAGCGGTGTAGTGGCCTACGTTTATGGAATTACCTATGTGATTAATAACGGCAAAGAGCGAGTATCTGTTATCTGATGGAAAAGGTGAGTCTGTTTTGGCCCTGCTCATAAACGGGGTCATATCTAACATTTCAGGAAACGAAATCGTAGTTGAAATTTTCTTCTCCATCTGCGACGAAATGTGTGACTTTTGTTTTGATTTCGCGCGAATGGTTACCTCATTCATGTGCTGAAACCGTTTTAAATGAAAACTGATAACAATGGGGAGTGTATTCATAGTCAATTGTTTCGTAGATTCCTGCTTTGACTGGCAATTCGAACACATGATTTTCGAATTTTCGCCTAAATGTTCGGCCCTTGTGAACCTCTCTAAACAATCAACAAGAGAGGTGGGCGGCCTTCCGCCAACAGTAACCGGCCCCAAATCTAACGAAAAGTCCGAAATTGGATCAATTGTAGTAGAAACCCCACTACCAATGCAACAACATAAAAACCGCCTCTCTCAAAACCTCCCCTACTCACTTGCATTTCTGACAAACCACATCACTTTGTAACCCCCCGGTAAAAATCTGATCGATAATACACGGACATCGGGAGTTTTTCCCCACATTTACTGATTTCAAGTTCGGCATTGTCTCGAGGCAATGCTGGTGGAGGACGTCAAGGGTTGCGATAAAAAATTCATGAGCGTCTTGTTGCTCATACCCTGCTAAATGCCGTGCATGGGTCCAGATTAAATGCAACAGCTCGTGTAGGGCTAGAGGGACCCGAGTACCATTATAAAACTCCTAAAAATGAAAAAAAATCACTTTAGGGACCCCCAAAGTGTGATTTTAACCTGGAAAAGCTTCGACACTTCGCAGACGAGACACCGGCCGGGCACCCCCTTGCACTTGTGTCTCTCAGTCAGAAAATAATCCCGCAACAAGGGGGTATGCATCAGGGCTTGCACAATACAATTCATGAAACACGTCTGGCCTAAATTAAGCAGCCCCCGGAGCCCGATAGTCGAATCAGGAGTGATGCAAATCTTCTTCGTTTTGCTCTTCAAATAATCTCGTTCGTCTGACGTGGGGTTCCATGAGTCAATCTCAAACAGTCGCTTTTTGCAAGTTTTTGACTTCATTTTGTTGTCCATCGCAATTGCGTCGATTTCCGAGTCGTAGATGTAGTCGTGGCATTGATTGCAATGCATCTGGCCGTAGGTCAAGTCCACCGACATGGAATGTTTCTGGTTTTTTGCATGTTCGCGGATGTGTTTGTGACACCCGAAAAACACACATTCGAGACAGGCGTGGAGGAAAGGGCCCCTTTTTTTACACACGCGACATCGGCTGTTGCACAACTAAAAGTTTTGTTTAGTATTTATCAAATCTCTGACGGTTTTACCTTCGTTTTCAAGCTTTTTGAAGTCGAATTCACCACAAACACCGCATGAATCCACTTGAAAGTGTTCTTGTTTTTATTTGTTTTCTTGTAAGATTGCAAATGTTGACACCCCACTATACTCATTTTACTTCACAAAAGGCTGGAGCAACTTTTTTTGAGAAAAATGGGGCTTTTACGTAGAATTTATTGCCCATCAACGATTCTGATTAGACCACGTTGCCAAAGTGGCAGTGTCGATTAACGGGATTCAACTCAAATACACAATTATTACAAAATATTTACCGATTTGTAATGAATAAGAGAACTAAATGACTCTAGTTACTCAAAACTGATTTAAAGTTAGTGAAAATGTGTTAACAAAACTGTACACAAATCACAACTTGGCACAGTTGTTTGTACCTTTTAGAGATATTGGACACGAATCAATCATCACATGCGCAAAAGCTCTACTCTAAAAACAATTGTAAATTTTATGTAAAACAAAATTGTAAAAAACTAATTGATTTACTTCCTGCATACTCATGTAAGTTGATGAGTTTAAAGTAACAATTTAAAAAGTATTGTTACGTCTTTACCTGAAGTTTTAGAGCTTGTGCTCACTCGAGTTAAAAAGTGTAATTTATTGTTAATAATCGCCAACATGACAGCAACAAAGTGTTATTAGATATACGAATCGTAAAAAAATTACCAGAGTTAAGTTTAGTATTAACACTAAAACTTAAAAATAGTTGTAGTTTAATTCATGATTTAAGCTGGATTTAATTAGAAATCACTTTTAGGATAGATTATTTTTTTCTTAGGTTACCGCTTTTGTAATCAGCTGATAACGCACTGTTTTAAAAATAAAGCAATGGGACTAATCCCCGACATCCTGCAATAAAGCTTATCTTCCCGTCCTTATGCAAATAAACGAAGACGCCCGAAAGCGTACGTCTGAAAAATTTGACATATCACTTCACCTGCCACGATGGCTTCTCCACCGATAGATAAAAACACAGTAAAAAACGAAGTTTCAGTAAATGTAGACATAACAAAAGTAAATATGCAGCCCTCGACTAGCAAAAACGTAAGTTTTGCTCTTATTTTCCTGGTTTTTGGTATTTAAATTCGGTGTCTTAGAACCAGTTGGGCGAAATCGCAATCGAAGCTTCTGAAATTGTAAGTAGATTAGAGCAAGTTGTTGAAGGCACAAATCTTGCTGATGCGGCCTACAACCAACCGACGGTTTTTCTGGGAATGGAGCAGAAACGCACCGAGGAAATAATTCAGATAATTCAAGGGTTGATTAGTGTGGATGAGGATGGAGAACCATTGAGTTTTCACAATTTGGATAACGTGGCCAAGTTGGTGATGATTTCCCACAGTATAGCGGCGTTTTGTAGCGGCTTAGAGCGCCCCATTATGCAGAAGTTGAGCACGAGGTTTACCACAGATACGACACGGTGGATCAGCCAGATTTTCGGGTAAGACAACTTGTGAGCCCCCTAGACACAGTAATTAAACAAAACTTGAAGTTTTTTAGACTCGTCTTCGTTTTATCACGACGATCACCTCGAGGGGCTAGTCAGAGTCACCAGAATGATGCTACATTACAAATATCCGAGATATCTTGAAGACGGTGCTTTGGCCTTCAGCTCCTCACTTCCGACTATTTACAGTAGTGTTGCAAGCCCCCTTGTTGTAGTCCAACATTTGTGTCGCCAATTGGGACTACCGCTGGCCTGTGTAAGACCAGTTCCGGTCAATACTCACTTTGGTAAATTAGCAGTTCAGGTGTTTTGGGGTTATTTGGGGCCGTTTTTAGGTTCACAATACACAATGGACGTGTCATCGTTACAAAAAATGTTAGCAGACGATGTTAGTGCTGGTAGAACGCCGTTAATCGTAATCGCGGATGCTGGGACCCCCATCACGGGCCATGTTGACAACATTTCAAGGATAAAAGAATTGTGTCGACTACATGACGCTTGGTTGCACCTAAGGGGGCACAGTTTGGCCGCTTTGGCCCTACCAAACTACCAACGCAATGGCCATGTGAGTGGTCAAAAATTTTCCGCGATTTTGTGAAAATCAATTTTTATAGATAGTTCCAGTGGCTGATAGTTATACGTTGTCTCTGGGTAGTTGGCTTGGTATTGCTGGGTTACCAATGATCGTATCCTTTTTTTTATAAAAAACGAAACGGAAAATCGAATTTTTCTTTAATTTCTGATTAGACTTTGTACCGGCTTTGGGAATCGACTTCGAATCTTAACCGTAATAAACAAGTGGGGGCCACTCGAGAGAGCACTCTCCCGTTTTTAGCTGGGCTAAATAATGACCATCAAGGGCGTCGTATCCTCGCCTTGCCCTTGTGGGCCGCTTTACAGGGTTTAGGCCGAGATGGGGTTCATTCTAGGATAAGGGACGACTTTTTGGCCAGTGAGAGGCTTTGGGCGGCTTTGGACCGGTATCGACACGTCCGAGTTTTGGTATTTTTTACTGAATTAAGGGGAAAATGATTTTTGGATTGTTTTTAGAGTCAAAAACCGGGCGGTGAGAGTGGCAGTTACACGGTTTCTGAGCTCATGTCCAAGCCTGCCAACATAAGTGTAAGTGTTTTTATTTCATCAATGAAATACTGAATTTTTGTCTCTAGCTTTTGTTCGAATCGACGGCTTGCTGCGTAGTCTTCCAATTCACTCCCGAACTGAGCGAAGGTGAAGTCCTCACAAAAGTGCCTCCATATTACGACAAACTAAACTCTTGGTTGGGCCAAATCCTGCAATTGGACGCACCCCAAGTTCCCATAGACATTTGCGAACTTGAAAATGTCGGTGTTGTTTTACGTTTCTGTCCTTTTGAGAACGTCACTGGTCAACAACCCACTCTTGAAGAAATCCAAACTTTTGTTCAATGTCTTGAACAACAGTTGGTAATTCTGCGAGCGACGATTCAGCATAAGGAGACTTTCATCAAGTTAGTTTCTGAATCGCCGGTTTTGAAAATCGTTGACTTACCCGATTGGGCGGGGTTAGGGGGTGTTAGATACGCCCCCGAGGGTTGGGAACAATTATTAACCGATCAAGCGAAAGAAGAGTTGAATAATTTGAATATGGCGCTTGTTGATTCGTTGAGATCGACAGATTCGGCGTTTTCATTGGGCGAGGGGGCGGATGGGTTGATGTGTGTCAGGTTTGGGATGTTGACGCCCCAATCGGACGTTGAGGAGCTTCTTAATCTAGTGATAAGAGTCGGACAATCAGTTGAGGAGAATTCTAGAGTTTTGGATTCGATGGGCGAAATTGTCAAGAAAGGCATTGAGACGGCGACTCTTGACCTCCAAAAGGAAAACGAAGAGCGTTTATGGCAGGAGGGAATCCTCCGACAGGTCCCAGTGGTAGGCACTTTCGTTAATTGGTGGTCTCCCAAAACGAAAGAATCGGGGGTAAGGGGGAGGAGTTTGAATTTGACGCAGGGCGTGGTCGAGTCCACTGAAAACATCTACAAGTACCACATGCAAATCAGTGGGTCCACTCCCGGTGCGAAAAATCCCCCTACTCCACAAGTCCAAACCCCAATTGGGGGGAGTCATTCCAGGTCGAGTAGTCATGCGTCAAGTCAAGGGGCGAAAATAGAAAATGAAAGAGAGGTTCCTAAAGATAGTAGTAAGAGGAAAAGTTTGCCACAGACTGAAAATAAAGTATTAACGCCTTAAATTGTCGTTTCGAGCTTCATTGTTGATTTAGAGTTAGCTGTTGCGATTCTTTTGTGCACCGGTGGTGTTTTGTTTTTGTTATTAAATAACTAAATTTTTTACAGTATTATATTTTTATCTTCTGTACATAACGAATTATTTAGATTCAAAAATAATTATACAGGGTATTTCGTCTACACAAGACATTTGGAGTTTTGTGAATTCTAATAATGATATTTATCTGAAAATTTGTATATAGCCTGCTCTGAGAAAATATTTACCGGTTATACTGGAATCGGGTGTCAACTACTTTATTTTAAATGGAAAACTATGTTCTAAAAGAGTTTTTGTAGACTTTCTAAATACCCAAGCTTAGTGGTTTTCAAAATCTTTATTTATTTATTGGATTTATGGCTTCGCCTTTAAAAATCGATAACTTTGCCATTTGTAAATATTATGAAATCGTATCCGAGCAATTAAAAGAAGAAAGTTAGATTCTCCTTTTGGTGTGTTCATAAAAAATAGTTAACAAATCTTTAAAGTTTAAGGTTACATTTGGGAAACTTCAAATACCCATAACTCAATTTTCCCTAATTTTTTCTTCAAAATACATATAGTATATTATTATATGAGTGATTATGACACCCATTATTTTCGAAAATGGGGGAAACTTCACGAGTCGTAGGCGAGTGGCAGTCATCTGAGTGAATAATCGTCATAATCGCGAATTTAATGCTATGCTTTTCTATACCTAAGTACTGGGTGACTATTAATGTTTCTGAAAGAAAAACCTATTGGTAACCCTGAATTATTGGTAATCCTTCAAATTTGTTATATCAGAATGTTTCAGGTGACAGCTAAATCAGCAGTTCCTCGTCGCAAATGATTCACAATTGCCTATAAAAGTTTGACGTTTGAGTTTGAAAGTCAAGGTTGCCAAACTAAAATTTGATACCAACTTGAGGTAACAAATCACAATCATTTACAGTCACCCGGTACTAAAAAAATAGACTCAATTTTGATACTTGTCTGTCACGCGAGTTGATTTTCAGCCGCAGAAGAGTTAAATCATAATTTACTACAGTGAAATTTATATAAGATACGATTTTTCACAAAAAAATTGCTAATAATATGACAATTATTAATTAAATAGGTGTAAAAAAAATAATTAAATTTATGTTTAAATAATTTTGATTCTCAACATATGCGAAAACAACTATGGCTAATGAATTTCCCGAAATATCACCGAAAATTTACCATAATTTGAAAATTATTAAACGAAGGTTTATAGGAAATTTATTATAGATCGATGCAAAAAAAAATTCTATTTAATGAGAAAAAATTATGACAATTACAGGAAAATTATAAGGAAAAGAGTTTCTAAAACCTAACTTTAAAGTATGGGGCTTTTTTACTTTTTTTATGAGTACACCAAAGGAAACACATAACATTTTTCTTTCAAATGCTGAAATATGATTTCATAATAGCTAAAAATGGCAGTGTTACCGATTTTTAAAAAGGGAAGGTGCAAAGCCAAAAAATTGAAAAAAAAAAGTCTAAACATTTCGAAAACGGCTATACTTCGGTATATAAAAATTCTCTTAGAATAGCTTGAGTAATCCAAAAACATGGCTTGCATCTAAAATAGTTTCTGGAAGTGCCTAAATTTTGGAAATATTTTCATTCAGGAGCAATTGATTTTTTATTGATCTTAGATGTACATCAATTTTCACATGAATATCATTGTTAGAACTCACAAAACTTCAGTTTAGACGGAATATCCTGTAAGTATATCTTTGTTTCAAATAATTTGTAGTAATTTAAGATAGTTTAAAAATTTATTTGACTTTTTATTATTTGGAATTGTATTTCTACAGTTTATCTTAATCTAGGTAAAAATAATTAGCCTTTTATTCCGCAATACTGTTTTTATTACTACAATAGATAGCCTTGTTACTTGCACATTGTTTGATTCAGATAATATTGTACCAAAGATGCTTGACAAGCGTTCATTTTTAATAAAACAAATTTTGTCGCAATGATTGTTTTTTTGTTGTTAACAAAGAATGGAACACGACCTCGTCCCAATCGAGGAATTTTTTAAGTGTTTTGCACAATAAAAATACTTGAGGTAAGTATTGCATGATACCAGGCAAGGCGAAATTGGTACAGTTACTGGTTCAATAGTGAAAAAATTGTCATAGGCCTAATTAGTAACTGCTTTAGCCTTGACTGATTATTAAATTTTGTAATTTTTTATTTGCTTGTTACTCATACTCCGTTAATTAACCGATAAATCGCGATATGAGAACAATAAACTCGTAATAAGACACAAAACTACTAACTAAATCCAAATTTATTACGTCTCCGTTATGTTCCCCCCTTTGTTCTTAATATAATAGTGCTCAATGAGCTCCAACATGACCCCATTGGTCCACCCAAACCCCGTTTGCACCTCGTACTCGCCCCCGCCCCCGTACATCCCCTTGAACATCGCGTTGTACTTTTCGAACATCTCGTGCGTCTCCTCCTCCACCTTCACCAACGAGTCAATCCACCTGTAAGCCAAATCTTGGGCCACTTTCTTAGCCCTAGGATCCTGTGTCTTGTCAAGTCCAAAAATGACAATCGCTTGCGTGGGGGCCCAGGCATTGGGCATGTCCCATTGTTCGCCAGTTTCATACAGCGACGTGGGAATCCCCCCTTCATAGTTATGAATCCCTTTTTGGGTCAGATAATTGGTTGCGTTTTTGCCGTAACTTTGCCGCTGACTGGTATCGTAACACTCAGTCCAGAGTGGAGCAAAGTTGCTGGGATAGAAATGTTTTCTTTGGACTTTGAGCTCGATATCGTAATCGTACCAAATACCATCTTCCGCGTTGTAGAGCACATCGTTGATGGCTTTCATCCACTCGTTGTACTTCTGGAGCCAGAAGGAAGCGCGGTCGTGGTTGCGAAACTTCTTGTAGAACTCGTGCATGATCTTGAAGCAGCGACACAGAAAGGCGTTGAGGTCCACAGGGATGATTCTACTGGGGTTGATTGTGCTTAAATCGGCCCGATTGCCCCCTTGGTGGTCGAAGAACCAACGACCCGAGAAGTCCCAACCGGTCTCAGCTCCGGTCCGGATATTTTGGTAGCATTGGCGCTTCTCGTCTTCGGTTCGGTACCTGGAGGACTATTTTAAGTGAATTCAAAAAAAAATTGGTTTGGGGGCAAAAAGGAGTCTACCTGGAGGCGGTGTGGATGTCTTCGATGTAGGACTCGGGACGTGGGGTGTTGTCACTGGAGCGGTACCGAGCCAAGCGGTACTTCTGACCGCGTTTTTCAATCTGAACGGTCTTCATATTCAACCAAAACGTTAATTCTTTTTCTAGATATTTCATATTTCCCCTCAACCAAAGCACCTCCTTGGACACATCCATGAAGTCGGCTACCATAAGGGTCAAAAGCGGGGGTTGTGACCTGTCCAAGTAGTATATCCTCCCACCGTTTGGGATAAACCCATAAGTCTCAATAATCCGGAAAAAATTATCAATCATCCCTTTCACTGTGTGTTTCATGTCGCAGATTAGTAAACCCTTCATGATCCAGTACGAGTCCCAGTAGTAGATTTCCCGGAACCGGCCTCCAGGTACTATAAACCCGTTCGGTACCGGGATTATGGAGTATTTGAAGGGGTTTTGCATCACCTCGGGTTTGATTTTGCGTCCCAAACTGGGCCAAATATCCAACAAACGTTTCGCAATCGCCCGTATCCTCACATCTTTGATTTGGCGCAAGAAAGGAGGGTTCACTTGGTAGTCGGTGGGGAACCATGTATCGAGTTCATTATGGGACGCTTGGAAGTTCTTCTGGATGAATTCAACAACGTCGTTTTTATTTGGACTTCCTCCCGTTCTGGTCATCATTTTGTCGAAATTTTTGAGGGTTTTTTCAATAGTTTTGACCAAACTCATGTCGACGAACGTTTTCGAGTCTTTGAAGATTCCGGCCATTTGGACGACACGCAACAAGTCCCCTTGACAAAAAATCGGACTTTTACATGTCATCGTTTGACTCCTTATCACTCTTATCATTAGAAAAATCACAAATATATGAAAAACGTTCATGACACTGGATTTTAGCCGGGACAGGCATTTTTACACCAATTTGTACACCAACATGAAGGAAAGTGAATTTTGACAAGAGATGTCAAATAAACAAAAATCTTACTCAATAAAATTTTATTTTTCCTGAGTGTAATACCGGTTTATAAGTTCGAAAAGTACACCGTTGGTCCATCCAAAGCCGTGTTGGACATCGTACTCTCCTCCACGCCCACTTTGACCGCTGTATTGCACATTGTACTTTTCGAAAATTTGACCCGTTTCGTGGAAACTCTCCAAATTTGACCGGATCCATTTTTGGGCCAAGTCTTGAGCTGTTTTTTGGGCTTCAAAGTCACCAGTCCGGTCAAGGCCGAAAATGACAATTGATTGGAGGGGTGGCCAGGCATTTGGAAAGTCCCATTGTTCCCCACTGTTGATAAGTGACGCAGGAATACCACCATCAAAGTCCAAAATTCCATTTTTTGACAAATACTGCACCGCTTTTTGCCCTAAATAAGCCGAATTTTCCGGGTGGTAACATTGTGTCCATAATGGGGTCAAATTACTAGCATAATAACCCTTCCTTGGTCTATTCAACCCATTATCCCAATCATACCAAACACCATCCATGTGATCAAAAAACACTTGTTCTAGATTTTGTTGCCACAAATGTGACTTTTGGAGCCAAAAAATGGCACTTTTGTGGTCATCTAAAATGGTATAAAACTCGGACAATTTCTGAAATGCCTGGCAAAGGAACGCATTAAGATCCACTGGGATTATTCTCCGTGTCTGGATATGAGTCAAATTGGTTTTGGTACCACCAACATAGTCAACCATCCATCGAGACGAAAAATCCCAACCACTTTCAGCCGCACTTTTCAAATCTTTCCACAACTCAGCTCGAGCTTCCTCACTTTTCAAAATTTTGGCACTTTTGATATCCTCGAAGTACGACTCTGGACGCGGAGTGTCACTATTAGCCACATAATGGGCCAAACTGTACTTAATACCGTTTTTTATCACAGTCGTTAGCTTATTTTCGAGAAAATATTGCAATTCTTTGTCCAATATATCAATATTTTTTCGCAACCACTCTGTATCGTTCGTTACTTTTAAATACTCCCCCACCATGATACTAAGAAGTGGAGGTTGCGATCGGTTCAAGTAGTAGACTCGAGCCCCATTGGGCAAAAACCCATATTTTCGGATAATCAAAGCAAAATTGTCCAACATTCCCTTGACAGTTTCGTGCATTTGGCACAGAAGAAGCCCTTTCATGATCCAGTAAGAGTCCCAGTAGTAGAACTCCCGGAATCGCCCTCCTGGTACCACAAACCCGTTGGGGACCGGCAATAGGGAGAAAAATTCCGATGATTCCAATACCTCCTTTTTGATTTTTCGCGCTAATCTTGGCCAGATTTTGACCACTTTCTGGGCGAAATCCCGGATTTCTGAGTCGCTGATCCTGTCCAAAAAATCCGGTTTTGGCGTAAAATCCGGTGGGACCCAGTTGTCGAACTCTTGGAAGTGTTTGAAATGTTCGTTGACGAATTTCTTGATTTCTTTCCGATTTGGTCTAGAGTTTGTCGTTTTCAAAAACTGGTCAAAGTTTTCCAGCGTGGTTTTTTCATCGTGTTGCATTTTCATGTCGACGAAGATTTTTGAATCGGGGAAAACTCGAGACATTTGGACCATGTGGAGCAAAGAGCCTTGGCAGTAGATTTTGCTCTCGCAGGACTCGCTTTGCGACGAGATTGTGACGAGGGATGAAATTGCGATAAGTACGAAGAGAGTCATTTTAATAAAACCTGAAAATAATTTTACTGTTTTATTCTAAACACTGAGGGAGTACAAAACCAGGTTTTTTGAAATAGGTACATAATTGCTTTTACTATAATTTTTAAATTATTTGTTTTGCTGACGTTTTACTACATATTGTGTTTAGAATTCTTTTAAATTGTTTCGGAAACTTTAAATAAAGTAACAAAAAATATTGATACAAATTTGATTTTTTTCCATTAAATTAATTCTGCAGTTTATCATTGTTTTTGCTTTTGTTATTCGGAAAAAAATGTCTAATAACAAATAGAAAAGTAGTAAACGATTGTTTTTTCTTATTATTGTGGTAACTATTGTTTTTTAAAAGTTTTTAATGTACATATAATGATGCAAAATTTAGCTTATGTAAAAAACAAAACACTTATAAATAAAAATAATAGTTTTAAAACTGTTTTGTTTATTATGATGAAACGTATTTTGTAGCGAAAATATTCGAAATACATAGTTGTTTTTAGTTCCTAAATTATTTGATTCTGTTTATTACCTATTTTGTTTAGAATTTTTTTGAAGTAAGTAGAAAATTTTAATCTCCACTTATCAAGGTCATGTTTAATTCTGTGTGTTTAGAGATGAGTTAGATATATTAATAAAAAGATCAAACAAATTCTAAATTGTTCTTGTATATTTTGTTGTTGTAAACATAATAACTATTAACAAAAAATTGGTATATTTTAAACACATACAGAATGTCCAGAAAGACGGGCACTTCATTGAAAGGGAGTAATTGGGTAGTCCCCCAGAGAACTAAAAAATGTTTAAAAAATTTGTCAAAAAATTTAGACATTTATTTTTTGACATTTGACGTTTTTTGATGATCGTGTGTATGTTTTTTTTATAATTATTTAGTAAAGAGACAAAAATTTTGCTAATAAAAGCCACAAATAACATTTAACAGAGTTCCTTGTTTTCAGAAAAAAATAGAGTCAAAGTGTAGGTAAAGTTTAAACTCTCATAACTTCGAAATCCTTATAGATAGATTTTTTAACATTTTTCTTGTTGTCTAGGGCATCGCCTGATGATACAATGTCACGAAAGTGCGCGGCTTTCCGGACACTCTGTATATCAAAATTTCAACTTTTAAATTTATTTTTAAAATTTTTTGGTGGAATCTAACTTTTTTGTACAGTTGGGGAATTAAAATTTCGGACAGCATTGTCATTTTCATAATGTAAACTCTAAAACAACCTTTACATTAATAACCTCATTTTTTACTTTTTGTCATGTTTATGTCATGTTGACTTATTTACTTTCAAAAATAGTGATTTGTGACATAATAACGGGTAAGCAGTAGATCAAAGCGATGATTTAATTACACTTAATTAAATATCTTAAGAAATTTATTAATTAAAGTAACAACTTTAACAACAAGGTGTCAAATGTCAGATTAATAACTTTCAATGCGATGGTTCGTTCACAATCATTGATAGCTTTGACGTCAAATTAAAAAAAAACACCTGTTATATGCAATGTTTCTGGTTCACAATAGTCATTTCTCATGTTTCTGAAGTTACGTTTAATGTAATTGAAAACAAAGAAAAACTAGTTAGTGTGTTAAATAACTAATTGTTGGCATTATTTTTATTGTTTTCTTTTTTACTTTTTGTGATGTGCAAGAGGTAAATTGTAACTAAACTAAGTTGCAAATCTGTACAATAATTGTACAATTAAAAAGTTGAAAAACAAATAAAGAATTATAAAACGACACAAAAGTCAGGAAAAACTTTTTATTGTTCAACATTTACAACAATTTTTATTTTTTAACAATTTTTGTGTCTATGAACTGCTTATCGTAATTTTTTACAAGTTGTTTTTAAACATCGTGTTATCAGTGGAAAATTTAATCGTTCTAATAATAAACGTCTCATTAAAATAACGTGGAATTCAAACTTACATTGTGTCTCCTTAGGCACAAAATTTCCAAAACCCGTTGATTTAGCATCAACAACCTACCTAATACTGACAAAGCCCCAAGATGTATGGAAGTTTTTAAGTAATTACTTATCATTAAGTCAAACACAAACACACTTCGATAAAAATTCCATTTCCTATAATCACGTCAAAAAATTTCTATCCCCCTAAGAACAAACACTTAAGACTTAAAATAATTTATTAAAAGTAACAAATAACAATATCACAATTTGACGAAACAATCAATGCTTCTTCTCCGATACTGTGTAAAATCTCTCAATGAATTCAAGTGCGACTCCATTTGTCCACCCAAAACCGCTCTGGATGACGTACTCTCCTCCCCCTCCATATTGCCCAGGGACCTCCGCGTCGTACTTTTCAAACATTTCGTTGGTTTGGTTGAAACCAATTAAATTAGCGGTGACCCATCTTCGGGCAAGCTCCTTGGCAAGCTCCTTGGCCTGGCAATTGCCACTCCTGTCCAGACCCATGACCACGATGCTCTGTAATGGGGGCCAGGCATTGGGGTAGTCCCATTGTTCCCCACTACGGGTCAAAGAAGCCGGAATGCCCCCTTCGTAGTCTAGCAATTTTTGGTCATCGGCGTACTGAGCTGCTCTTTCCCCCAAAACATCAGCTTTGGATAAATCGTAGGCCTCCGCCCATAAGGGGGCGAAATTCGAGGGGAAAAAGATTTTCCTGTGTTGCCCCAACTCATTGTCCCAGTCGTACCAAATCCCGTCCTCTTTATTGTAAAGTACTTCGTCTATAGTTTTCTGCCAAAGGAACGATTTTTCGTACCAGAAAATCGAATTTTCGTAGTCGTGCAAAATGACATAAAACTCGGCTAATTTTCGGAAAGCTTGACACAGGAAAGAGTTGAGGTCAACAGGGATGATCCTCCGTGTGTGGAGAGAGGTCAAATTAGCGCTGGTGCCTCCTGTTTCGTCAACAATCCATCTGGTAGAAAAATCCCATCCACTTTCGGCCCCACTTTTCAAATCTGCATACAACTGCTTTCTTGCCTCTTCCGAAGAAAGGGTACTTGCAGTAATGACATCCTCGTAGTAGGATTCAGGACGAGGAAAACCACTTTCAGAGTCGTAATGGGCCATGGTGTAAGTGGTACCATTTTTGGTCACTTCGACCAATTTATTGTCAAGCCAGTATCTTAGTTCTTTGTCTAAAATTTTGATGTTGTCTTGCAACCATTTTGTGTCATTTGTTGCGTCGATATAGGTCGCAACCATTAAATTAAGGAGCGGTGGTTGTGACCGGTTTAGGTAGTAAATTCTGGCACCATTTGGCAAAAAACCGTATTTGTCAACAATTGACAAGAAGTTGTCCAGCATGCCTCTTACAGTTTGGTTCATTTGGCTCACAAGCAATCCTTTAATAATCCAATAAGAGTCCCAATAGTAGAATTCCTTGAATCTTCCACCTGGGATGACAAAACCATTGTCAACAGGCAGCAGTGTGAAAAGCCCCGGATTGTCAATCACTTCTTTCTTTATTTTCCGGGCAAGTTTTGGCCAAATATTGACGAGATCTTGGGTAAATTGTCGGATCTCCTCATTGTCAATCCTTGACAATATCTCCGGATTGTCGGTCAAATCCCCCGGGACCCAATCGTCGAACTCATTATACATTTCGAAATTCTCATTTACAAATTTCCTCACTTGATCTTTGCTCGGGTTCTGATTCGTGTCACTCCAAAACTTGTCAAAATTCGCCAAAGTTGTTTTCTCGTCATTTACCATTTTCATGTCGACGAAGGTCTTAGAATCGTTGAAAATTTTGGCCATTTGAACCGTATGAAGGAGGTTGCCTTGACAATACACCTTGCTGTCGCATGATGGGAGGTCTTGCCCTGATATAGAGGCGGTCAAAATGGCCAAAAGGAGTAGAAATTTCATGATTAGTCTGGAAAAAATTTGACACTACTACAAAAAAGTAAAAAAAAAACTAGTGAGGCATGACAAGTGCGGGGGTTTTTTATAGCGATTTGTGACAATATCTCTTATCACCTTATCAGTTTTAGAAAATTGGCGGCTTGTATTACGACATTGATGTTTCTAGGCTTATCTTTGACAATGTCAAGGTTTATTGTGTTTGAACTAGTTTGAACGTAAAGAAGATTGTTTTACGACAATCGTAATTTTTATATTTTATTTCTTACACAAGAATAGTATATTAAAGTACAAGTTGCAGAAGCAAATTTGAAATTCACAAATGAGTGCTTGAAGAACCTTCTGCAACAAGTGCTTTATACTATTTTTTCTATTTTGCCGCTTTATATCATTTTGTAAATTAAAAGACGAAAATTTTTAATTTTTTTTTCTAGAGAATTTTGCGGAAGTTGTGCAATAATTTTGAGCGTCTGTAAAAAATAAAACCAATTCTTATTTTCACATTTGAAAATGAATAGTGAAGAAAGTCCGTCACTAAAATTAAATTAATTAAAAATTAAATTAATTTATTAAAGCACTCAAATGGCGTCATTTGGCTGCTGGAATAGACTTATTCTAAACGCAAAATAGAAAAATAATTATCTTAGGATAAATCCTATAAATCAATATTTACTTTGATTTTATTTATTTGACATACACGGTGTAAGGAAAAGATGAGGACAAAAAGTAACCTGAGATTCCTCAAATCAAAATAAAGCGATAAAACGGTCCTTGGTGTAGTTGGGTTAAATCGCTTTATTTTCATCTGGAAAATTTTAGGTTACTCTTTTTCCCCATTTTTTTGCTACACCCTGTATACATGTTGTCTGGAAAAAATTTTAGGGAATGGTTTCCCATAGGCCAAAATGAGAAAAAAAGTTCTTACATGCTTCCTGAGGGCAAGCAATAATTTAACTTTATGTGAGAAAACTCACTGCAAGGGTTGCTTTTCAGGTCGGTGCACGGTTTAAGAAAATCTAATTTTTCTCGAAAACGGTTCGTCGTAAAAAGATAACAGACAGAAACACAGGAATTCAAAAAATTTGCTAAATGTTTGAAATTTTTTTAAATATAGTTTTCAATAAAATTTTTGCCATACCTTTATATCTTATTATTGAGAATTTAATGCTCTATCTGCCTTTATTTTTTTTTTATTTGCGTTTTGCGCACCGTTACGTAAATACAGCCAATTTTTATTTCATTGCACTTAAAACTTGAACAAGAAAGGAACAACTGCGCTATCTAGCCTCGCTAACGGAACTATAGAGACCGGAGACGTTTTGTTTTACATCGTGTCGTATCCTAGTCTTTAGGTATCCGTAGTCGGAATAAAATAATGCATATCGTTAATAACAAATTTTTACGTAGTTCTGGAAAATAAGTTTTTCATGGCTAAAAGTTTTTCTTAACATTGTCGATTAGTACTGAATTTTTACGTCAAGCTCTCAAAACATGTTTGATAACCGAAATAACCATAAATTATCAAAGAGGAAAGAAAATTTCCATACACAAAACCCCAGATAATGTACAAATCCATACAGGGTGCGCCAGAACTCGCGCGCCAAAACTCGCGCCCCAGAGAAAAATTTCAAGTAAGGTAAGATACCAGGAACATGGAAAAAATGTTTAGAAAATTCTATCTGTTAAAAAATTTTGACATTTTTTTATGTCTATTTAATGATACTGATAATCTTGTATATGTTTTTTTACAATTATTTAGTAAAGGTGCAAAAATTTTGCCAATAAAAGTCACAAATAACATTGAACAGAGTTACAATTTAGGATCCAGCTTCCTTGTTTCCTATAGCAAAAAAACTTAGAAAATTATTTTTCAAACAGAAATAGAGTCAAAGTGCAAAATTTAAACCGTCATAACTTAGAAATTTTTATAGATAAATTTTTTTTAACATTTTTTCCATGATCCTGGTGAAGACACCAGTAAGAAGAACCTTATATGGCATTTTTCACTGGGGCGTGAGTTCTGGCGCACGCTGTATAGAAGACACACTAAAAGACTTTTTGGACTTTGGTAGTGTTTATTTCTTGTGTTTCAAGAAAACAATGTGGAGATAAAAGCTAATTTATTTATAAATTATATGACTATTTTTGGATTTAATTAACAGACGTAGGAAAATTTTATTATACTACAAATTTCACAGAAAATTTTAAATTTCAATTTAAGGAGAAAACCATGTAAACCCTTGAAATTTGCCATAATTACGCCTTCAACTTAGATATGAACAAAAACTCGTCAGTAAAGCAAAATACCTTGCAAAATACGATAACAGGAGGAATATCAGGACTATTACAGAAATCTTCTTCATTCAAAATGCTAAAGACAATTAACTTTCCCAGTTAATAATTATATTGTTAAAAAAAAATCATTATAAGTTAAATGCATTGAACAATAATTTACACCTTGGACTTAAAATATTTTACCTTTTTTGCATATTAAAAAAAATTAAAACGTTTTGGGCGCTAAAGTATTAAGTTCTTTTAGTGCCTTTTATTATGTATAAATAAAACAAAATCAAATATCTTTCTGTTAATCTACTAGATCCACTTACAACAAAATATTCCAGAACATAACCATTTTGAAATGTAAAAAAATAAATAAAATTGTGACATTGGTTTCTAATTGAAAATTTTTGTTTTAAATTTTTTCTGAATATTAAGCATTTTGGCTTTTTTGTTCGCTTTGAGGTACAAAAATAGATTAATCCCAGTGCCTTCGCCTCCTTAATTAGGGTACACAATTTCTTGATATCACCAATAGATTCAACGCCGAAAAGTTACTTAAATGCAAATTTTTGTAAATTTATGTCACAAGTTACTGAGAGAATTGAAAAAAAAGGCTTTTTGTTTGTCATCTTCAGGGGCTCTAGCTCCCTCAGGAAACATTTCTGGATATGAGTACATACAAACTTTTTTTCTTATTTTCACATTTTGACCTAGGAAACCACCCTCCAAAATTTTTCAACATTTTTTCCAAACATCCGGTACTACATGTATGGGTTTACTAAATATACAAGGTATCCCAAAAGAATGTTACAAATTATGAGAAGTGATTTTATAGGTCATCACCCAAAAAAAAAATAATAATTTTATTTTCGTTTCTTCATTTTTGTTATTTTTTATTTATTGTTTTTTTGGAAATTGTTTTTGATACGTGCGCTATTTCAGGCATCTTTCAAAGAATTTGTGATAATCGCTATCAACGCAAATATGGAAACGAATTGGTTTACTTGTGTCAATGTTAGAAACTTACCACGAAAAATGTTTCACCCAATAAAAAATGACAAATCTTTATCGGCTAAAAACAAGTGATTTTGTAATAAAAAGACGAATCAAACACAGGAATACATTATTTTTACACAGGAAAAATGCTATAATTGTTTAGAGTCACTGACACTACAATTTTTTCAAAACACGACAAAATTACGTCCAATTTCTCCGATTTTTTTTGAATATATACAACGAACATGGACGGAAGCTTTAAATAACTGTCTTATCACCGACTTCGATACATAATAAAAGATTAAAACTAATCTGACACACAAAACGCAGAAAATACGCTTTGGATAAAGATGGTGTTTAGCATATCCGATTTTTCGAAATTTTTATTGCTGATTAACATTAAACCCATTTGACTAACATTAAAGCTACGCCATTTGTCCATCCGAAGCCTTCCTGGACTTCGTATTCACCCCCTCCCCCCGGTTTTCCGGCCTGTTCAGCGTCATATTTTTCAAACATGGCGCCATATTCATTGTAAGCCTCCATGTTGGACTTGATCCATTTTTGAGCAAGCTCTTTTGCCAAGTTATTTGCTTCATCATCCCCTGTTCGGTACAAAGAATTAATTACAATTTCTTGTAGGGGTGGCCAGGCACCGGGGAAATCCCACTGCTGGCCAGACTTTATCAAAGAAGCAGGGATACCACCTTCATAGTCTAAAACTTGCTCTAAGTATTTTATAATTTTTTTTGGGTCAATTTGATGATTTGCACGTGCCCACAAAGGTGTCAAGTTACTCGGATAGAAATATTTTCGTTTTTGGGATAATTTAGAGTCGTAGTCGTACCAAACACCATCATCTTCGTCGTAAAACACCTCTTTTATTGCAGTTTTGAGGGTTTGGGTTTGCTCGGACCAAAAATTTGCTTTTTCATCATTGTCCAAGGTTTTGTAAAAGTTAGACATGATGCTGAAAGCTTGACACAGGAAGGAATTTAAATCAACTGGTATTATGTCTCTAGTGTGGGCATCTGTTAGGTTACCCTCGTTCCCGCCATTTTGGTTTACCATCCATCGGGAAGAGAAGTCCCACCCACTTTCAGCAGCACTCTTCAAGTCGGCCCACAATTGGACTTTCTGGTCCTCATTTTCCAAAGTACTAGCACTTTGGACGTCTTCGTAGTACGATTCAGGCCGAGGACTTCCACTTTCAGAGTCATAACGAAACAAGTTATAGGTACTTCCATCTAATTCAACTTGAATTGTTCGATTTTTCATCCAAAAATTCAATTCAGTTTCCAAAGTATCAATATTTTGGCCCAGCCATTGCGTGTCGTCTGAAACTTTCATATAACTGGCTGTCATAAGGGTGAGAAGGGGTGGTTGCGACCGATTTAAATAGTATACTCTTGCCCCATTTGGCACAAAACCGTAATTTTGAACAATTTCGAAAAAATTCTCCAAAATGCCCTTCACTGTGTCCTGCATTTCGCATAAAAGAAGCCCTTTGATAATCCAGTAAGTGTCCCAGTAGTAAAACTCGTTGAAGCGACCTCCTGGGACAATAAACCCGTTGGTGACTGGAATTACAGAATACTGATCGGGGTTTTCCTTGACTTCGGGTTTCATTTTTCGACCAAATTTTGGCCAAAGTTTAACCAAATCCTGAGCGAATTGTCTAACACTTTCGTCTTTGATTTGCTCTAAAAATTGGGGATTTTCATTGTAATCTTCAGGACTCCACTCTTCCAACTCGAAATTCTCGAAATTATCATCAACGAATTTTTGCAAATCATCCTTGCTTGGGTTATTATCAGATTCCTCGAGTAACTTGTCGAAATTTTCAAGGACTGTGTCTTCCGGATTTTTTAACGACATGTCGACGAAAGTTTTTGAATCGTTGAAAAGCCGAGCCATTTGGATTTTGTCCAGCAATTTTCCTTGACAGTAAATTTTACTCTCACATGATGGTAATGACTGAGAAAAAACTGTTTCAAAGAAGCAAAACAGTGGTAGGAGAAGTAAGTGTTTCATTTCGATACAAGTTTTGGACTAAGTAAAAGAAAACGAAAAGGTGGTTTTAATGGACTTTTTTTGACTAAAACGAAGGTCAAAATAGCTTTAATTATTTTTATCATTAATGGCCGCAAAGTGTCGATTATACAATGGAATGATAATTTGAATACATTTTGAATTTTTAAAAAATATAAAAAAATGTAATATAATAATACTAAATTAAAAATAAAAAGTTAAACAAAAACGGAGAGAGAATAAAAATGAAAAATAGAAATTATTATTTTTGCAAATACAGGGTGCGCCAGAACTCGCTCCCCAGAGAAAAATGCCATATAAGGTAAGATACCAGGAACAAAATTTTATCTATAAAAATTTCGAAGTTATGAGGGTTTAAAGTTTGCACTTTGACTGTATTTATTTCTGTTGTAAAAATAATTTTACAAGTTTTTTTGCTATAGGCTATTAAAAAGGAAATAAGGAAGCTGTATTCTAAATTGTAACTCTGTTCAATGTTCTTTGTGGCTTTTATTGGCAAAATTTTTGTCCTTTTACTAAATAATAGTAAAAAACATATACAAGATCATCAGTATGATTAAATAGATATAAAAAAATGTCAAATGTCAAAAAATAAATGTCAAAAATTTTTGACAGATAGAATTTTTTAAACATTTTTTTCATGTTCCTGGTATCTTACCTTACCTGAAAATTTACTCTGGGGCACGAGTTCTGGTGCATCCTGTATAATAGTCTATATTTCTTATAGCATCTGTTGTGAAATTGTTATTTTATTTAACACATGATTTGTTAAAATTAAATAATTAGCAATCAAATTATATGCTTTTATTATAATTATTGATCAAAAAATAAAATAAAATGCTTGAACATTTTTTTTAAATACACAATTTTCAACTTGATTTCTAATTCGAAGATTTCTTTAGTCCTGAATTAAATTTTATTTTTCCTTTTCTAAATCAATTAATGACAAATTGAAATTTACTATCACTCTTAAACAAAGGTGAATTTTCGGTAAAAGATCATGTTTGAACGTATCCCGTAGCCGATCAGATGCTAGCATTTTGACGTCATATCAGGCAAATCGTAGGTTTGTTTATGATTGTAAAGGGCGCAAAAAATGGTGAACGTGGAATTGTGTAATATTCGAATTATTTTATAACGTTGCAAATAGCGGGATTACGCAGCCCCAATAAAAACCTTTTACAAAATGGGTCTTTGTGAATCGTTTTTGAGGAAATTATTATAATAACGAGACAGTCTTAGCCAAGCTCCCGTAGGAGTTACTTGAATTGTAATAATTGTCCAAATAAATTATTTATATCTTGGTTTAGTGCAAAATTGTGTAAAAATTGGAGCTGTATTATCAGTGCGTGCGTGTTGGGTATTTTCGAGTGCTTAATAGACATTTAATAATGCGTGATTTTTAAAGTTTCAAGTTATTAGTAAGCGCTAGTAGGAAAAATGGAAGACCTTATTTTTTTCATTTTTATTTATTATTTTTAACTAATTTGTGTTAAATTGCTACAAAGGGTAACAGAAGATGCTATATAAGGTCAATGCATTTTGATTTTCTATTTTGTTGTTTACCGCAAAGTGAAGTGTGTGAATTTGTGATTTTTGAATGCAACAATAAATATTTATTAAATTATGAATAAAAATTAGTAGTGTTTTAAATTAGTTAATGTTTTAAATAAAATGTATTATTTCTCAAATTCTATTTCAAAAATTTGTAAAAGACGAGTTCAAATTTACTTTAATAATAATTTTAATAGAAGAAGACGACTAGGATGAGTGTACTTTATTTTTATTTTTTTTTTGTTTATCGCAAACTAAATAAGTGTGTGGATATGAGATTTTTGAGTACAACAAAAATAAATACAGTTGACGCGATATAAGTTGACGATGTCCGGCGTATGTGCAAGGAATTGCGAGAAACAGTGGCGTCGCATACATTTTTATTTTGAATACATTTCACATTTTCATTTTGAACAAAAAGTACCCTAAGGGGCGATATACAGAGCATTCTTAATTGCCATCAAATTTTAGTTTGCGATTAATTTCATGTTTGGCAATGTAAAGTAAGTGACAACTTAATTCGGATAACTTTGAATTAAATTTTACTTCGCTTTTTTTTAAGTCAATTAATGGTAAATTAAAATGCCATCGTAACTGAAAATTTTGTCCCAGTAAAAGCTACTAATTATGAGACGCCACTGGAAAATGTTGAAAAAGACAGCATGCGAATCTATTGCGCATTCAACCTTTTCACCAACTTATAACACGTCAATTATAAAAACAGCGGCAAAAAAACTTATTTAGAAAAATATATTAAAAAGTTAAATATGTTGAATGATTTAAAAATATACTCATTTTCACATTACTTTGCATCGAAGTAGTCGTTGAAAAGGATGATTTTAGGGTGGCAACCATGCAAAAATTTAAACAATCCTAACCTCAATATTCCTTAAAAATATTTTTTTTTAAATAAATGTGTACCACAGGTGGCAAAAATAATTAAAATTAACAACATAATTAACATAAGGTAGCAAACATAAAGATTTTTGTCAATATTGATGTGATTAAATTTGTTTTCTGAATGACATTAATGATACTTTTTGTGTGAATCGGCCTCTAAATTAAAGAATCATTTAGACTTCTACAACCTACTTGATAAACATTAATATAAAAAAGAGTATAGTCCCACTTCTTGGACTATAATTTTTAATTTCTAAATTTCTAATAGCATCTGTTGTGAGAAATTCACTCCACTCCAAAAATTATACAGGGTGAATCTTAACTTATACGCATAAGCTTAGGGAATAAAATATGATGATCAATAATAAATAAAAAATAAAATAAGTTAAATACAGTTTTTTTTATTTTTGTCAAATGTCAATAAAAAATACCACTTAACTTCACCTAAATAAAAAAAGAAAATCGATTCACTTACCTATTGACAGGCGTACAAATTATTTAAAATTTTAAAGTTTAATAGAGTTTTTAACACGGCATATTTTTGTAACTAAAAAACTTTTATCAGAATTTTAACTATTAGTTATTATTTGGCATATTCTATATCATACCCTAAAATTATACGTATAAGTTAAGACTCAGCCTGTATGATTTCGAGACTGAAAAAGCTAGTAAAACTTTGTTTCGAGAATTTTTTTAAATATTTTGTAAAGATACTTCAGATACTTATGCTTCTACTACAATTATTTAACAATACCATTTTCGTATCTACTATAAATTCCTACATAATATAAAAATAAAATGTATTTTAAAAAGAAAATAAATGCGCAAATGCAA